TGCCAGGGCTTCTCCTGGTGGCCACGTTCTCTTTCTCTTCAGTTCCAGGTAGGTGTTTACCTTTTCTTTAGGTTATTTTAAATACATCAGTGAGCTGCTTGCTTTTTATCTTCTCCAAATATATTTGTTTAGTAAATTATACTAACTAGTTGGGAAGATTTTAATCTATTTTTGGAGAAGGCAGGTGACTGATGTAAAAACTCAATGTAAATGAGAGGCAAAGAGGTGTCCTTAATCAATATTTACATATATGTTCTGAGAACATGGGAATCAAATGGAAGGTTTCATTCAGCATAATTAACATAATGAATGTGATCTTCAAGTCAAAAGGTGAAATTCATCAAAACCCACCTTGTCCTTTTTAGAGCAGTGCCATGGCTTTCCAGAAGGCTTTGGAAAGTATTTTCTATTATTATTGGGACGAGTTGGCTTGTCCTGTTCCTTTTGAGCTCGCATTTTTAGTTCTTTCATTTATGGTGATAATAAATATGACTAATTAGAAATAAATACTTGACCAATTTCATTTTATAAAGCAGCGTTATATTACTTGATCAAAATAATGCTGTTGCTAAACCGAACTTGATCACTTACTTCTATTTTGCTGGTATATCAAGCATTTACAAACTTAAAAGTAGAGGAATTCTACTTCCTGGTAACACATAATGTCTACTATCTCTGTCCATTGCTCATACATTCTTCTATTAGATTTTGGTTAAATTAGATTGGCTAACACATTTCCTTAGCTTATTTATGTTTCTAGAGCTTAGGGAAGCACATTAGCTTTAGTACCTGGGAATCCTTCCTTGGTCAGACTTCTCTTGGGTATTAGCATTCTTACTGGGACCCAGGAATGGGAACAAATTATCAACCAGAAATACGGGATTGGGGAGAAGTGGTCCTCTTCCCCTTGCACTCACTCTGTACTTAATCACTAAAAGTGATTTTTCATTTCCCCCTGGTTTCTGATTTCCAGATTTTTGAAAGTTTTACTTAATATCTCTAAATAGAGAACTATGCTAGGCATTTAAGTTATTGGCTTAAAATTTCTACTTTTTGAGTCAAACTTAATAAAAATATTCTTTCCCTACAGTCTCCAAAAATACTATCACTACAAACTCTTTGGAAGCCTTTGTTTGCGTGAAACATAAGAATTGCTTGGGTACCAGCTTTTTCCCACAGCAGAAAGATCAAGCTGTATCCATAAACAGAATCACATAACTAACACTGGAGTTTAGCCATATTTCAGCCTTTTCAGGGAAGTTGGGTGTACAAACTGACTCTGCTCCCCCTGTATCTGCATTCACTACATGTCCCCCAGAGATGCAATGCTCTTAGAAGTCATGCTTAAAAGCGTAGCATCTCTGAGTACTTGGTGGTGAAGACAGAGATTCTTGTGAGAATGAGGAGACAGACAGAAAGCTGCCCACCTCGTTTTCCAATGGGAACAGAAATCTGCCCCACTTGTATTACCCGCCATCTTGTATTTTCAAGACTGTCTCCCCCGTAGTGAAATACTCTGATATTTTTTCCAATAAGTTGATTTCCCAGCCAGAATGCAAGAAGGAAAGCAGTTTTATTTCCCTATCTCTTCTGTTATTTTGTTTCTTTGTTCACATCATCCACAGAATAAATAGGTGTTGCTCAGACACTGACATTTATCTAGTTCTCATATAATGAAATAAAGGAAGGGGGTAAAATCAGGGCAACTGTTTGTAATGAGCTTAGTAATTTCCTGAGAAAAACAACTTATAGAATTGCATCACGGGAAAAAACACACACAAATATTTAAAAGGATGTGCCAGGTGCTTGGGAGTGAAGAAATAAATGCATTGACAAAGGAAAATGGTCTTTACTATCTTCCAGCAGATTACCCAGGGGGATCAGTACTTCTGAAATTATGTTATTTCCAATTAGAAATTCTTTCTTGTCTTCATAAGGTGACCAGAAGACCCTAAAGAGTACATATAAGTCCATCTTTATAGCCAAATGATAGACTTAATTAAGATGTGCTTTTTTTCCTCAGTGTTTGTGCTCACTTTTCCTACATGAAATTTAAAATTACAAGATGGGTTGAGGGGGTTCAGAGAACCCCGAACTTAAGTCAGTGTCAGGCATGAACCTGATCAGGACTTCATGTCATGTGCTCAATTTGGGAAGACAATGCTTTAAGCAGTTTTGAATACATATGAAAATGGCATTATGTACAAATGTGCTAAAATCCAAAGTGGTCCAAAACATATTAAAATATAAATAGCAATCCAGACCAATGTCTGTTACATTAATCTTGTCAACAGAATTAATTTTTAACTTTTTAACATAAAAGAATTATTGAATCTAAACCAAACTAAGAGATTTCTTTTTGTTGATCTAGTTTTGCTAGTCAAAATTAATCTCGTTCGTGAGTCCTGTGGGAAAGAGAAAGCAAGTATTGCAATGAATGAGTAGAAACATACTGTGTTACAGCTTAAATTTGTGTAATCCCTGGATGGCAGTTACTTGTGTTTGTTCCACAGGCTTCAAAATAATAAGCCCGTGTAATTCTGCTGAGAGGAGGCTTAACTATCTCTATCACCTTACGATGAATGAGCCATAAAATATGAAGGTCTGCTGCCTCTCCTAGCTGCTGTGTAATTCATTACATCTCAAGTCACACTCGTCCCAGGGCCTTCTGGGTTTCAGAAAATCAAGTGCCAGTATGGGAAATTCTATCTGCTTTTTAAGAGAATGTACGATGTTGCAAGAGTTTGGAAAGAGCTAGAAATCATTCATTTCAAACTGAAGAAAGTGAGAGGTTGCCGAAGACCTTTCAATACATTCCGGTTTATTTATTGATTTATTTTGCTTACCATTGGAAAGTGATCTGCCGTCAAAAAAAATAGTTGAAAAAATAAATTTCTCCACTATTTTACATATTTGAATCAGCTGGTAATTTCGAATTTCACCAAACCCTAGAATTTAGATACTAATTAGAAGCATACTGATTAGATACTAATCAGTGTGTATTAAAGAAAACTTGTTGCCGTAACCGGTTTGGCTCAGTGGATAGAGCGTCGGCCTGTGGACTGAAAGGTCCCAGGTTCGATTCCGGTCAAGGGCATGTACCTTGGTTGCGGGCACATCCCCAGTAGAAGGTGTGCAGGAGGCAGCTGATCGATGTTTCTCTCTCATCGATGTTTCTAACTCTCTATCTCTCTCCCTTCCTCTCTGTAAAATCAATAAAATATATTTAAAAAAACAAAAAACAAACAAACAAACTTTTGTTGGTCAGATCAGCCTGTTCCTTACTCACCACTTCTGAATGGAGAATGTGCATGTGTATTACTTTATGCATTTATGGAAAGAATTATTTGGGTAGGTATTATTTTATGACCCGAGGGCAGCTTGGATAATATTTCCTGTCAAAATGATGTGTATTATGGATGAAAATGACTTTTCATATAGCGTTTTAGAAAGAGTTACTCTGTTTGCAACATTGGTGAATATATGGCTTCAAGAGCTCTGTATTAACGGGACTGACTGCACTGATTGGACACAAGCCACCCGCCAGCACGCATGCCTCTTGGTATGCTTGTTTGGTGTCAGAGTTACAGGGGACTGTGGAGAATTGTGCCGATACGATTAGTTACTTTCTGGCAGGAGTAATTTTCTTACCTCTTAACATCATACTATTTTGAAATAAGTGTGATAATTACCAAAATGTTCACTTAATGAAAAGACAATGATTGATTAGATGTTCCTTCAGGTTTTTGGACTTATGTTATGAAAGCTGTTTATAACCAATGTGGGTTTTTTTTGTTTTTTTTTTACCCAAAATTAATTAAATAGAAATAAAAGAGGGCCAGTGATTACCTGTGAAACAGCAACAAGTAATTGAGGGAACCTCAGATGTGGTTCTGGAAGTGTGACTATGTGGCCAGACTTATTTTATCAACTGATTAGAAGTTTATTCAAATGAGCATTGCCTCTTTGAGGAGATTATAGGGGGTTCTGTATGTATTTGCATGAAATTGTAGACTCCTTGAACTGGCCAGAGATCACTTAACCTATCCTCTCTTTTCAAATAATTAAAAACCAAACTAAACCCAAAGTTAAGGCACTCTAGTACTGATGCCACAGCTTTAGGTACCTTTGAAATCTTGCTAAGAGTAAATCTCAGGCCACTGAATGAAAAACTGTTTCATCATGTGAACACCTCATTTTTGACACAATGAATTTGCAGATAATTTTATCACTTTTTCTATCTTTTAAAGTTAGATGTACATGGCTCCTGAGTGATCAAATGAAATAAAGACATCCTAAAATAATAAAAGAAAATTGACATCACCAGGAATTTTAAAAATGTATGCTTTAGTTTTTAAAGAAATTTTTTTAAAATAAGTCTTTATTCTTGGAACGTATTGGGATAAGTGAACAGTCATTCAAGGTGACTAACAAAAATCCTCAGTCCTATTTGTTAAAAGATCAACCAGGGTAACATAAATTTGTGTTATCATAGGACATAGGCTTGAGTAGTGTAATGAGGTAGGGTTACCTTTAGAGAGCCTCCGACTCCACACAGACAACTAAAGCGTCTCTAGTCCTGGTGTCAGTCAGCCGCTGGGTTGGGCCCTGGTTCCTCCTGCATCTACATTCCGTGTGGACCTGCAGCCTCTTCAGCGACCAGAGAGCAGATCTGCTGACATTTCCTTAGGCTCCACTCTGCACAGAACAGGGACAGGACCATGTGGATAAATCTATAATAAAAGTGTAATCTGCTAATCAGACTGGGCAGCCGAACGACCTTCCGGATATCCTTCCGGACGATCTTCTGGACAAAGCCGGGGCTGTGAAGGCCAAGGCAAGCCATTGCGGCTGTGAGGGTCGAGCCCCTTGCACAGATTTTGTGTATTGGGTCTCTAGTAGAAAAATAAAAGGAAATAGAAATTCCAGTGTTAGCTTTGGAAGAACTGAATATCTCTCAAAAATAACTTCTAGATTCAATGTTGAGATGAGATTTCAAGATGCAGAAAGGAGGTTAAATGAGATAACTTTTCAATTCTCTTTTAAGGTAACAGCAGGCTCAGACATTTCCTTCCAGGCCAGTAATAGTGTTCTGTCTGTGTCTCTAATTTTTAAAAAATATTTTTTCATGTGTTGTATGCAAAAATGAAGGCGTATCTGTGCTGCAAAGAGCCTGCCCATTCCATGGCGCTGGTATTGGAGCCTTTTCTTACTGACTTTGTTTCTTTCAATAGTGTAAAGCATTGCTTTTGGGAAACCCAAGGAAAATATCTTAGAATCTGAAATGACACCCATTAGTTATTTCATTTTTCTAACACTGTAGTTTTGAGAGTGCTTCAATTCTACCATTCTGACACTGATTTAGCTTCTTAGAGGGTTCATTTGGCTTCTGCCTTCCTTGACTAGCTTTTGTCTATAGTATAGAGTAGACTCTATACTGTTTGCTCTATTCTTCTGCGGGGATCCAAGATAGCAAAGAGAAGTGGAAAAACTTAAAAAAAATATTCTCAGTGGGGAAATATTTAAAGGGATAAGTTAAAGTAAAGATTTGAAAGGAAGAGTGAGTCTCTGATTTTGTGGATCTCTTTTGGTGTCTGCACTTTAATAACTCTCTGACATAACTCAAAGTCTTGGTGGGAGACACCATTCACCAGAAATGCATTAAAGATGACCATTTCCGACAAGTCTATTAGTTCTTATTAGTTAAACCTTCTCTTACTTTTTTTCAGTAAATGCTATAAGAGAACTCCGTGGAGTAAAGAAGTATGAAGTGGTTTACCCCAAAAGACTTCATCCACTGTATAAACGAGAGGTCAAGAAGCCACATCAACAGGTACAGCTTTTGATTTAACAGAGAGGAAAAAATCTTGAATATATATATATATATATATATATATATATATATATATACAAAATACACATACATACAATATATAAATGCACATGGTGTACATAGAAATATATAATTATACTTAATACACAAATACATATACACATATGTACACATGTCTTTCATACAGACTCTGGTTTTCTTCCCTGCTGTTGCCTTTCATCCAAAATCTATATACTAGTGTCAGCTAAACTCCCATTCCAAAAGCAATGATTATTTTCTAAAACAGCCTCTAAATAATGTTTTAAGTAAAGCTCCACTAAAACTCCATTGCTAATAGAAGCAGCTATCTGGAAGGCTCTTCTGATTAGAAGCTCATATCTTGTATCCTAATATTTTTATTCTATACTAAATAGAATAGGGGTCCAGTGCACAAATTCATGCACCTTGAAAGGAACTGTGGGCAGTGAGCATGGGGTGGGCACAGGGGTTGGTCTCGGCCCATCCTTCATGCCCCTGCTGGGCCCTTCCCACCACACCCCCTAGTCCCCTGTCTTCCGGCAGCCCCTCTCCCACTGCCACTGTTCCCACGCACTGATGGCAGCACTGGCCCTGCTCACAACCACTGATGGAGCAGAGCGATTGGGCCAGCATCAGCAGTGGGTGTGAGCGGGGCCTGCAGGGGGAGGTGGAGAAGCCCTCAGGGGCAATTGGGGCTGGCAGCCACTGTTTGCACCCCCGTTGTTGGTGACAAACGATCAGGACTGGTGCCAGGCACCAGCAGCCGGTGCAGTTGGTGGCTCCAGCACCAGCTGCATGTGTGAGCAGCGGCTCTGGAGCTGGCAGCGGGTGCAAGAGGTGGCTGCCGGCCCCTATTGCCCCTAAGGAGCAAGGGGAAGTGGAGAAGCCCTTAGGGGCAATCAGGGCTGGCAGCTGCCCACTGACAGCGCCGGGCGATCAGGATTGGCACCAGGCACTGGCAGCGGGTGTGAGTGCCTGGCAGGACCATGGCGCATGGGAGCAAATAATTTTTAATAACCACCAGAAGCTCACCCCAATGACAGCGACCAGTACCCCACCTTGGTCTGGTGCTCCAGCTCACCTGCTCCACCATCCCACCCCAGCCAGTGCCCTCCATGTTCCGCACACACCCCCTGGTGACCAGCGCACGTCATAGCCACCAGTTGTTCGGTTGTTTCACCGTTGGTTCTATTTGCATATCAGGGTTTTATATATACAGATGGCCTTTCTAACCAGTGGTTAGAGCAATTCCCCATGGATTTAGTTTTCATCCTCGGGATTTCTCCCACATCCTGTTATTTATGAAAATGAACTAAGTTACAGTAGCCTCCCCACCTTTAGGCCCACAGTATAAGATATTTATAGTCATGCACTTTTGACCCCAGGGAAGACACCAATAATTGATAATTAAAAAGAAATATGGGCCAAAATACCTGACCTTGGAGATGGTAAATCTCTGCATAATATCCCTGACCTGATGGGTCTAATTCACTATTGTCCCTCGATGAGCTCTGGTACTGTTGTGGCCAGGAGAGGGAAGGGAGAAGAAAAGTTGGTTTAGGTGCAACAGCAGAGAGAAGAGCACTCAGTCCATCATAAGTGGTTCTCAATCACATGTTGTTGCCATTTTTAGATCTCTTTAATAGCAATGCCTTGTCACTTCCCAGTGAATTATTAGGTGTTGTGTGTAACCATGACTAGTAACCTAGTTTTATACAACAAACTCAAAACTCAATACCCAATGTGATCTTTAAAGTGCCCTGTATAGTCCTCTATAGTTCTTCCCGTAGACATAAATTAAAACTTATGACAGTTCTCCTAATCTACATGGTTTACTTGAGGTGATATTTTTCTTTCTCTGAATACCTGAGACTCTTCTTCCTGAGGGCTTCTTCCTGCCCCAGGGTACATATTCTTGTTGGTTTTGCCCATATTCTGACCTCCGCTTAGCCTTAAAAAGATCTCACACTAAAAAGCATCAGTGAGATCCTTAAAGGTCTCCGGGTCTTTTTGCAAACTAATCCTTCTCAAATAACTTCCCTGCCGTGCTTCACCTGGCTAATTCATACCTCAGCTTATGCATTATGTCCTCAGGAAAGCCTTTCCTTCCTTTAAGATGTTAGACATCCCACATTGCCTCCATATTTATATCATTTATCATACAACATAACTCGCAGTTATTGTCTGTTTTTCTACAAGATTATAAGCTTTCTGACAGCAAGTACCAATTTTTATTGCTTCGAGTTGAATTTCCAGAACCAAGCCATATCTTGCAAATAACCAGCACTCAAATAATATTTGTAAAATGCATGAATGGGTAAATGAATGGATGGATGGAGGAAAAGATGGATGTATATAAAGGTCTCAACGTAATTTATCTACTTGGTTGGCAAAGTTGTTAGATTTGTTAAGAGAGGCAGAAGCAGATATTTGGCATTATACACACTAATGTTAAGGAAAAGCAGTCATTGCTTGCTAATGATTAAACAGATAGACCTAGCAAAATAAATATTTGTGTGTGTGTTTTAATTGCCAGCAAATGTTTTTACATTTTTGCAGGAAAAATATGAAACTGAATTGAAGTATAAAATGACAGTTAACGGGAAAATGGCAGTGCTTTATTTGAAAAAATCCAAGTAAGTGTCTTTACTTTTGATATAATCCTCACCAATTACTTATGTCTCACGTGAACCCTGGCTAATCAGCTTTTGCTCTCTACTGGCCCAAGAGTTTCAATGAATATTTGTTCCTACTGAAGTAGTAGAAACATATTGGGTAAAACAACAGTTTACTAGTATTTTGACAGTTATAGGAATAAAACAAACTAAATGAGGTGCAAACAGACATACATTTTATCAAATTCAATGAAATAATTATAGATTTTTAACTCTTCCCCTACACTATTTCATTTTATTATTCTAACACTGAAAGATTAGATTTTAAAGCAATTTGCAACCATTTTCATTGGTAAAAAAATAAGACATATAAAAGTTAAATAAACTCTAGGGCCAAAGAACCCAGTCAATGGTAAAACCAGAGTTGGGCTCTCCTGATTTCAACACCAATGCCCTTCCTACTCAGCTGCCCACTAACCCACCCATTTCTCTCATATGTTACATTAGGCTCGTTCCTCTCCACCCAGTTCATCAAATTCAACGTTTCTTTTCAAGTTTCACTGCCTAAGTTCTTACCCAAATCCTGATTACCCTATAGATACACTATTTCAAAAACAATTTCCTAATGTGTGCTTTCAATTTATTTCAATTCCTCAATTGTTCCATATAGGACAGCAAGATAGACAAATAGAATATCACCTTTTGCAAAAAAAAAAAACAACAAAAAAACAAAACAAAAAAACACACAACTGTCTGGAGTTTGGAAATAGTGTACTGTAATGGAAGGAAAACAGGCTTGGGATTAAGGCAGACCTAAACATGATTCTATGCCACTGAACTATTTAATCTCATCCGAACAATAGAGAATAGTATTTATTTTGTAGGATTGTTGAAAAGATTATATTAAATGACTCATGTAACAAGTCTAACCCAGTGGCCAGTACAGAGATAGCACTTAATACACAGTCATTACTTCCTTTTCTCTTTGCCCTACTTCTTTTAAAAATATAGTCAGGCTCCTATTTTCTAGAGAGTAATTGAAAGAATTTTAAGAAGGCTCGGCAGAAATGCTGGGAGGACCCTAACTGCCAAATGCAAGGGAATTTTCAATAAACTTGAACAGTCACTGGTGACTAAAGGGCTAGGAAATGCAGTTACCTTCAACTGGTGAGGAACAGCACTCTTTTCAGCCACTATTTACCAACTTTCCCCTCAGTTTCATTTCTTCCTCAAGTCTTTCTTCAGGCCAGTAAGCAAAGTCGGACAACAAAGCAGACATTTTCCCCTACTAGTCACGACTGCCTGAACTTGTAAGGGGTTAGGACGAGGCCCTCAGGAATTAGAACTTCACTGCACACCCAGGGAAAGCTCTCACTTTGATCACTGAACTTTGTAATTAGCATGAGTAACTATGACTTTTTTCTTTGTCTCCAGGGATCTCTTGGCACCAGGCTACACGGAAACACATTATAATTCCACAGGAAAGGAGGTCACCTCCAGCCCGCAGATCATGGTAAGATGGAGTACCCTAGATTTATTGTTAATTGGGGTACAACCCACACATCCAAATGCAGTCATTGCCAAACAAGGAGTGAAAGGGAAGCAGCATGTATAGCATCAGTGCTTTATTTAATAGTAATTTCTTTCTTTTTTAAATATTTTTTTAAAATTGATTGCTAGAGAGAGCAGAAGAGAGAGGGATAAAGAGATAGAAACATCAATGAGAGAGAAACATCATCGATCAGCTGCCTCTTGCCCACGCCATTCTGTGGATCCAGCCTGCAACCCTGGCATGTGCCCTGAGAGGGGCAGGGTGGGGGGACCAAACTGAGATCTCCAGGTTCCTGGGTCGATGCTCAACCATTGAGCCAGACCAGCCAGGCTAGTAGTAATTTCTTGATTGATCCTCCATCATTTGAAGACCTTGACAAAAACAAAGTCATTCCTTTACAAACACGGTAACCCTTTCCAGCCTTCAAGGGCTCCCTATAGGAAAGTGGACAGAAGGAACTTCTTATTTTCATTAGAAGAGTAGAAAATTATATATGATCACTAAATCATCTAGTTTCTCAAAGTCCAGACTATTTCCTCAATGGTAGAATTATAAAATTATGCAGTGGCACAGGGGTTTACATAGGCCAATACTTCATCTTTCCCAAAGTTGAAAGGAGCACAGACACAAGAAAAAGGGTGAGCGTTGTGCCTTTTGCTGATGGAGGCAGAGAGTGCTGTACTAATCCAATTAGTCTGGTGAAACTCTTTAGATAAATCAAGAAATAACACATTCATTGGAAAGAACTCATACTTGTTAAAAAAATAATGAGTGGTTGACTGATTAGTCAAAGAAAGGAATAAGTGTCTAATGTTTTAGGAGCTCAGGTTTTAAACATACATCTATGTTTGTTGCTTCCAGGCTGTATTCAACCTGTTTTCCTTTATCTGAAGCACAAACATTTACACCAACATTTAGTTAGCAATATGTAAGCATTTGGGATCATTACCTAAATATTAAAGATTTCAACCATAAAAAACTTTAAAAATGTTTTTACTATCTTTAAGTTGATTGTTATTCAGCATAAAATGACTTTAAAGCATTATAGATCTTATTTCAAAATTTTAATTTTAAATGTAGCAATCGTCTAAAAAACATGCACACTTTCCTTTATAAAATCCCTTTTCTCTTTTCTTTAGGATGACTGTTATTATCAAGGACATATTATTAATGCAAAAATTTCTGAAGCTAGCATCAGCACATGTAGAGGTCTAAGGTAAGACTTCATGAATAGTTTGTATGCATCTTTGATGATTGGGTGTGTAGGTATGTTTAATAAACCCAAAGAAATGGGGAACATCTGTAATAGTGCCAACAATAATATATCCTATATAATAAAAGCCTAATATGCTAAGTGTCTGGTCGACCGGTCAACCGTTCAACCAATCAAAGCATAATATGCTAATGATATGCTAAGGCCACTCAACTGCTCACTATGATGTTCACTGACCACCAGGGGGCAGATGCTCCAACCATTAGGTTAGCTTGTGCTGGGGTCCAGCTGATTTGGACTGAGTGAGATGGGCTGGACATGCCCTGGAGCCTTCCTGTGGTCCCTCCTCATTGGCCAACTTCCCGCGTCCCCCCAGCCCCAATCATGCACCAGTGGGGTCCCTTGACCTGGCCTGTGCCCTCTCACAATCCAGGACCCCTTGGGAGATGTCAGAGAGCCAGTTTTGGCTTGATCCTGCAGGCCAGGCTGAGGGACCCCACTGGTGCATGAATTCATGCTCCGGTCCTTTAAAATATATATATAATGTTACTATAGGGAAATATGAATTCTAAGGACCAAAAAAAATTTTTAAATTTGAAGGAAACATGGCCCATCTTTATAGTAGTTTATAAATTAAAAACCTGAATTGCTTTCTGAGTTGCTTTTCTTTGATTGGTTGCTTGCTTTCAAAATATAGGTTTTGAGTCCCAATTTTAAAGTCAGAGCCTTTAGGAAAGGGGAGCTCCTCTTCACCTTCTCTCTTTACTCTAAAATCTCTAGTTTGTCCTGTCCAGGCTCATCCATTTTTTTTCTCTGTACTAAGGACTCCCCATGTGTCTGTCAATAATAAGATATCCAGACTTCCCATACCCAGACTTGAATATCTATTTTTTTTCTTTCTTATCTCCATATCTCTCCCATATCTGTATATCTTAATGAAATCTTAATGAAGCTAGTAATTTTCTCTAAAATCTGGTATTTATCCAGTGTTTCTTATCACAGTAAATAATCAACCAACTACTTGCCAAATACAGAAATCTAGGTTCTTGATGACTTATTGCCTTTCAACTACTTATTTTAATCCATTATCAGGCCTTATTGATTATATGTTCTAAATATTTTCTGAGATTATTCACTACATTCTCTCTCTACTGCCACATTATGCAGACCAATGCAATCAATCCCCCAATTTATCTCTCCCGTCACCTCTTACTCTTCTAATTCTATGTATAATAAATCCATTTGCCCTATTGTATGTCCTTGTTCTTTTCTTCTTAGAAATTATCTGCTATAATTATGTATATTACATATATGTCATATAACTATATATATTTGTGGGTCAAATGTAATTATTTAATCAACATCTATCTTCCTCATTTGAATATAAGCTCTATGACGGGAGAGACAATGACTCTCTTTACCACCTGCCTCTAGTTCAATGCTTAATGAGTAATGGGTGTTCCCTAAATATGGTCCAATGAATCTTAGCTTAGGGCTTCAGCAGAGAGAATTAAGATGAAATTGGCATTATTCATTGATCATATGCTTTGCATATTATCTCCTTCAATTTTTATAAGCATTCTATTGTATGTATTATTATTCTCATTTTATAGATAGAGAAAATGAAGCTATGTGAGTTTAAGTAATTTCCCATGGTAGTACCACTAATAAGTGATAGGCCCAGAGTTTTAACCCTGATATATAAGACTACAGATCTCTTCCATTTTCAGTACACCTGAGAGCAGACAAGGCAAGGGAATTAGAAGAACACTGGACCAAGAGTCAGGAAATTTTATTCTAGTGCCAGCTCTGACTTAGGTTAGCTATATGACATTGCAGAAGTCATTTCTCCCCATAGGTTCCATTTCCTCATAGAGAGAATAAGCCTGGATAATTTCTAAGGGGATCTTCAGCTGTAATGTTACACTGTGTTCTACTGCCATGAGCTTAGAATGTTTTGGCAATGGTAACTTTTTTGAGTCTCTAAGTCTATTGCACTCAAATGCAGAAATATTTTCTAAGAAGCCTGGACTCTCATGTTTTTTAGGGGCTACTTCAGTCAGGGAGATGAAAGGTACTTCATTGAACCTTTAAGCCCTGCAAATCAGGATGAACAGGAGCATGCACTCTTCAAGCATGAGCCTGATGAAAAGAAGGCTCCCAGCACCTGTGGGATGGATGACATGATATGGGCACATACATCTCGGAAGAATGTGACCCCACCTGCCACCAGTCTGGTTGTATGCATACCTCTATTTTTATTTGGAACACTCTCATGCACTCTCATGTATTCTGTCCTGTCTTCCCTGGGTTCTAGTCTTAGCAACTGCACATTGCTGAAACTTTACAATCATTGTTGAAACTAATAGGTTAAAGAGACATTAAAACCTTATTGTACATTGATTTTTTTAAAGAAGTACTTATGGATCAACTAGGAGCAGGCAACTTTCACAATACTCTAACATAAAACAGCAGTGTAAAGTATTATTATTACTTTGAGGTAAAATATCCTGCTGTCTTCATGAATGAATTCATTCAACCAATCTTTCTTCAAGTACTGCCATTGGTGCTGAGGATGTGGCAGTGAGGAAGGTAAATATAGGATCTGCTCACGGCAGCTTAGAATGTGCTTTCATATATGGAATCCAACTTTCAGTTACAAAAGATCATCTCTTATAAACATTTGGGGAACCCATAAGCAGTGGGCAGAATTGGTCCGAATAAAATCAAATCTCTGTTGGGTTCAATGTGCTGGGTATTTGAATGCTACCAGCCAGAAGAACCACTCTTACCTATGCGAATGCTGATCTCCTGGTTTAGCTGGTACAGACCTCTTGTCTCTGTCTCAATTCCTTGCTAATCATGTGCAAATAACCATGCTTCCATTTTCTCTCTCTCTCTCTCTCTCTCTCTCTCTCTCTCTCTCTCTCTCTCTCTCTCCCTCTCTCTCTCTTCCCTCTTTTGTTTTCCTCCTACCTCACCAGTGCTATGCCTTCTCAGTTCCTCTCACTGTTAGCCTTCCTCTAAAATAACGGAGGCCTCATAATGCCCATCTGATATGTCGGTGTTTATTTGTCTATTGTGAGCTCCTTCGGTGCACGGCCCATGTCTATTTCACTGCTATATCCCTAGTGCCCAGAGCGCTGCTGGTGCACAGTAATTGCTAATAAATTTATTGCTCCCATGGAGGGTGGGAGGTAAGTATTATCATTAGATAATAGCTAAAAGTCTACCTTCAGGACTCTTTTTTGTTAATGGAAACTTACCCGTTAAAAGACAAGCACTTCTAGAAATGCAACATAATAAACTTTGATGGTTTATTATTTAATACAAATAATGTCTGCTACTTTTCAATGGGACAATCACTATGAAATATGTTTTCATTGTTGTTGTTTTGCTTTATTGTGGAGAGAAAGGAACAGAAAATAGGGAAGCTTAGCATGTAGGAAAGAGATCCAGCTCTTTCTGGGAAGAAAAGGACAGACTAGGTGTCATGTGGCTTTGGGCATGGCACCATTGGTAAAGAAGGGGGTGTTCCCTGGAACAGGAATAAAAGGATACTCCACAACAAAAACACAAGGAGGACCCTGAAGTCAAAGTTTGTCTATTTCATAGCAGGATAGTGGGAACGTCCACTGTTCAAAAACCTCCGAACACTTTTAATTCCAGCATTCCTATTTACTAGTTGTGTAATCACTTTGTTTGGTAAAACAAAGGGGTTGGGCTAGCATATCGCTGACATCTCTCCTAGCCCTGACATTCTGAGCCTGTCTATAGATAATTCTGGCTTATTAGTTAGAATTAACATCATAATCTTATCTTCCTTTATCCCCAGACAACAACCAATCTCATAAAAGAAAGAATCTTGCAGAGAAAGGTCTTGCCTTAGTAATTTTTCTTGTTATATTGATTGCAGAAATTAAATGACCAGAAGTTTTGGGAACAAAAGAAATACATAGAATATTATTTGGTCCTGGATAATGGTGAGGTAACTATATCAATAAATGTGTCTTTTTAAATCCTCTCCTACCTTAACTTATTATGTGAGTATTAGCTCTATGGATTGGTTTTTAAAAATCATGATTATGAGTAATTCTTTTTTACCAATTGTTCTGAACCTATGAAAAGTTTGACATATAATTAGACTGATACGATTTCTTCTTTCCAGGAATGGGCACTGGATATGATATGCCTACAAGACATTTTTATACTCTAATGTCCTTTCTTTTTATCTTAAGAGCTCCAGACTCAGTTTCCAATTAAATTTCTTTGTCATTTTGGCTTCTGTTTACTATTTAAGTCATTGGTAAATTAGATTTTATGCTCATAAGGAAGTGGTAAATATAAAGGGCAAATGAATAGGATCTTCTGGAAAAAAGTGCTTTCTTATAATACTCATTGTCTAACTTCTTTTATAAGAATGCATTTTCATATATTGTGTGTTCTAAATCTGAGACCCACATGTATGATCTCAAAGGAAAAATTCTGTACTTTGATAACACAAGTTAATTAGTTCAGATTCTAAAACTTTGACCTCTCTTATTATACTAAATTCATTTACTGTTCATATTTTTTAAATGAATAATCTATTCCTGGCTCTGATTCTGCACAAATTAGGGAATGATGGTATTTAGCTGAAACACATTTGTAATAAAATCTTAAAGCTTTACACTGAGTTAGTACTTTAGGGGATGAAACATCATCTCTATTCCTAAAATGCTTTAATATGGTTAGAAAAATAAGAAAGAATTTGTTTCTAACTTTTTGTAACTGATCATGAATTATAAACACTGATAAGTAAAATAAGCTGAGAATGCCTTTATTTTTAAACCTTCCCATTATGTTTATTCCTATCAATGCCCATTTTTTTCGTCTTGGTTGTCTTTTAGTTTAAAAAGTACAATCAAGATCCAGAGAAAATAAGAAAGAGGGTGTTTGAGATGGCCAATTACGTCAACATGGTATGACACATTTTATTCGGTGTGATTTTAACTCTTGCTAGGCAGTAACATTGGGTGTTTCTGTGAGTACTCATGAAGCAGGGAAAGAAAGTCAACACTCTTAAGACTAATACTGATGACTGCCTTTTGAAGGGTGACCACGACCTTTGCCACTTAATTAAATACTAATATTACAGGACAGAGACATTTCTCACCTATTTGTCACACTAGTCTCAGCTCCATGAAGGTATACAGGTGTCTGCATGGTTTTTCTTGTCCCAAAACCCAGTATAAAAATTCTGACAAACAAGTCTCAAGGGAAAGCCAATCACGGGCAGAAAATAAAATAAGCAAAATAAGGCAAGCTGTGGCACAATAACATCTTTCAATAGGTTATATCATTGAATCATCAAACAACACTAAAATATTATCAAACCTAATTTATAGCAAAGAAATCAGATTCTGAGAAGCAAAGGAACTTTTCTAAAATCACAAAAATAGAAAAATGATAGAAATAAAATTTGAACTTAGATTGGTCAGATTTCAAGCCCATTTTGATTACATAATTGCTGATCTGCTCTTTAAACATGATTTTATAATCTAACCTTTTTAAAAGATTTAAATATTAATATTTAGTTTATTACTTGAGCATACAGTTAGCCTGCTTAGTTGAAAAGGGTTGGTCACTTTTAGTGTCCTACACATCATCTAAGGGTAGAAAGAAAATAAAAGTGGATTCCGTGGCCAAGGTCCTATTTTGTCTTCTCACCACAAAGATCATGGTGACTCACTCCTCTTAAGGAAACCCCCAAGTACTGGCCATATTTTTTGAGCATCTACTTTGTGCCAGGTACTTTTTGAAATTACAGAAATAAAGTGAGGAACAAAAATGACAAATATCCTTTGCTTCAGGGGAGTTTACATTTTTGTTTAAGGAGACAAATAAATCATATAAAGAGTATGTAGGATGGTGATAATTGCTATAAAGAAAAATAAAGTGAGAGAGAGAAAGAGAGAGAGAGAGAGAGAGAGAGAGAGAGAGAGAGAGAGAGAGGAGAGAGATTCATCTTAGGTGCCGTGTTAAATAGGAGGCCTCTCTAATAAGGTGACAATTGAGTAGAGACTTGAAGGAATTATCTCTGACCCTAATGGGAGGTGGGCAAAGCAGAGCAAAGGACCTGAGGGCAGAGCCTAGATTGTCATGTTTGAGGAACAGTGGAAAGGCCACTGTGGCCAGAATGTAGTAAACCTGTGCAAGGGTGAGAGATGACATCTGACAGGTAGCAGTGGCCAAAACCTGAAGGCCTGGTGGTTCTGTGTAAGGACTTCATGAGTGAGGAGAACGTTGGGAGCCTGAGGTATGACATGGTCAGATGTGTGTTCTTAAAAGATGATCTTGGCCATTGTGTTGAAAATAAAAGGAAGGAAAACAAGGGCAGAAACAAGATGAGATAGGGGAATTATGCCATAAATCAGGCAAGAGATGACGGTGGTTAGAGAAAAAGCAGTGATAATGGGTCTATTGAGAATAGCTCACAGGGTTATGACATGTGTGGAGATAAGAATTACAAAAATAGAAAAGAGTCAAGTGACATCAAGGGTTTTGACTTAACGAACAAACAACGGGGGAACATGGGAGGGGATGGTGACTCAGAGGACAGATTAGGATTTTCATTTTGGACAAATGAACATTGAGAAATCCTTTTGTATAAAGATTTCCAGGTAGAAATGTTGCAAATATAAGATTGGAGTTTTTATGTAAATCTGTAAGATATAAATCTGTAAGTCCCCAGCACAGATAGAGAAGGCACAGGTCAGAAAACTGTAGCCTGTGTACCAAATCCATCCTGCTGCCTTTTTACAAAATAAAGTTTTAGTGAAACACAGCCACCCCCATTTGTTTGCACAAGGTCTGTTTTGCTGTTTTCTTGATACAATGCTGGAGGTGGTGAATACTTTCAACCCAGAGTACATGGACTCAAAGCTTAAGATATTTTCTATCTAGAGCTTTCTAGAAATAGTTTGCCAAGAAACTGTTGGTGCAGGCTCACCAAGGGGGTGGGCCTAGATAAGTAGAAAAGAAACCCAAAGTACCCCATTGAAGTACTTCTCTGAGGAGAGATTAGAGGGGAGGAGACACTGATAGAGATCAAGAAGGAGTAGACAGTGAGGTAGGAGGAAAACCAGGAGAACTGTTCTTCTAGAAGCTACTTGAAACAGAAATCTATAAAAGGAAAAATGATCAAAGATTGTAGATGCTTCTGAGCACTAAGGATTGACATTGCTTTTAACAAAGTAGAGGTTATTGGTCACCTGGAGATGCAAGTTTCTGTGGAGTACAACAGTAAATCAGGATTAGAGTGAGTCCAGAGACAGTGAGAGAAGTGAAATTAGAGACAGAAAATATGGAAAATTCTCCCCAGAAGTTGCTAGAAAGGGGAACAGAGAAATGGAGCCTAAGTTGGAGGGAGAAAGGTCATAAAGAGAAATTCTCTTTTCATCCTCTAACCCCCATTTTGCCGCTAATGGGAAACAATTCCATAGAAGGAAGATGGAAGAGTTGCTGGAAGAGCTCTTTGATCTGGTGCATGAATAGAGGAGTTGTCCTTCAGTTCACAGAGCATTCATCGTAAGAAAGGAGAGGCATGGGTTGTTCCAACAGGTGTAGGCCAGGGGGTAGATGGATGGGTGGTAGGAACTTGTGGAAGTTCTCTCCTGATTGCTTCTAGATGCTTAGTGAGTATGATAAGCAGGGGCATCCATTTAAAGTGAGGATTTAAAAGAAACTGTCAGAATTTCAAAGAAAGAGGAGTGAGTATGAAAACAATGTGCAGAGAGTGAATGGGTTTTGGAAATGCAGCTGGTTTCTGGAGTGTGGGAAAGACCACTTGAGGTCAGTAGCCAGGGCTTCAATGTGGAAGCAGTCAGCATGGCGTGCTTTCCCTGTCGGGGTTCTGAGGCATGATGCGGGGCAGGCAGAGTGGGGAGTGAGCTTTAGCCAGGATTAGAGTTTTGTCAGGCGACTAAAGTAAAGCAAGAAAGGAATAAGGAAGCTGAGGGAATAATAGAGAGGATTTTAATCTTGTTAGATTTTTACTTCTCTTTTGGTGATAGTTGTATTCCTAAATGTTTTATTATTTTACAAACTACTTTTAATGTGGCAGAATGTTGCCCCATGAGAACACCTGTCACTGTGGATTTTTTTCAGTATATCTCAAAGATATAATTGGCATATGGCATTGTGTAAGTTTAAGGTGTTGAAAGCATTGCTTTGAAATACTTACATATCGCGGAATGATTACCACCATAGGTTTGCCAACACCTCCATCATGTTACATAATTATCATTTCTTTATTTTGAGGAGAACATTGAACATCTACTCTCTTAGCAATTTCCAACTATATTGTATGATATAGTAATATTAACTTTAATCACCATGCCCTACATTCAATCCCCAGAACTTATTCATCATAAAACTGGCAGTTTTCATCCTTTGACCAGCACTATAGTTTTAGAAACTATAGCAGCTATTTAAGTTTTTATCTTTAGAGTAAGCGTATTGTCTCATAAGCTTAACTTATTTCCAAAGGTTATTCTATGTGCATTGTAGTGCATTTGGTTTATAGTTCAGTTATCAGAATTAGAGGACCACTTATTTCATTGTGACTTCCAGATGTAGGACTTTTCCACAAAGCACGTTTCTTTACTACTGTCCAAACCAGCACTGACTCAACCTTGCTAAGTTCTGAAACATGAAGATTCTAAGAATGCTACAAGGCATTTGAGTTAAATGAAGTAATAGTAATGAACCACTAATAGAAAATTATATTTCTTGAGGTTGCAGACAGAAAAAAGGTTTGTCTCAAAAGAACCTTTTCTCAAAAAAAAAAAAGGAATTTACAGACCTGAAATATCTAAGGGTGTTTGTTTTGCCTAAGAATGGGGATACCAGCCTCTGCAAGAAAGAAATTGTAACTTCCATTCACAAGTTTGTTTAGAAAGAAAGTTTTACAGTGGTGTTATAACTAGTTTGAAAATCTAAAGTATATTGAGAATATTAAATGATGATGTCACCATTATAAGTTGATGTTTTGTCATTTTTTTCTCTTTGGACAGGTTTATAAAAAGCTCAATACTCATGTGGCCTTGGTGGGGATGGAAATCTGGAATGATGAGGATAAGATAAAGATCACCCCAAATGCAAGCTTCACCTTGGAAAACTTTTCTAAATGGAGGGGGGATGTCCTCCTTAGAAGAAAGCGTCATGATGTTGCTCAGTTAATCACGTATGTATAGATTCCCCACTTTTTATGTTATGTTGTTTTTAGCATAAAACTTCTCAAAGCCCGGGCAAAGCAAGTGGTATCTCAGGGTATAAGGTAAGGGGACATGGTTTAACATAGAAGGTTAAAAGTTTTAAAAGTATTCATTAGGACCTTATGTTGAATATGCTCTTTTCTTTTTTATGAGAAGCCAATGATTTAGTAATGATTCACAAGAAGTTTGTCTGTTTTTATTGGATGCACAGAAAGGAAAGACTGGTTTAGAGGATGGCCAGATGAATTTAGATTTACTATTTAAAAAGAATTGATTAGCTTTAAGCGCTATTCAGGACACACTTCTAGAATAGAAGATAAATTGAATATTGCATTCTAATTACACACCTCTACCATTCTGCTGAAATGACTAATTTAAAAAAAAACAAACAGGGAAAATAAATATAAAAGTTGTAAATTATACAAAAAGTGCTGAACATTTGCCTTAAGAAAGATCAAGAAAATTCTGCTGGATAGCTTGCAGCTGTATCAGATAGAAGGAAGCAGCAAGAAATTAGATTTTGTCAGAATTAATATTGTTTGCTGGTTATCTATTAAGCATAAAACATCAGCTCACAACCTCTTGACTTAAACTAAGTCTTCTTCACTTGTATGGCTGATAATTTGCCTGGTGTGGCTGGAGAAGGGGGGCTGGTTGGTCATCTTTCTGTATATACAGCTTTTCGTGTGGCTAACTTGGACTGCCTCTAACTTGGCAGTCTTAGGATTTTGGATATCTTAGTAGGTGACTCACTTTTCCCAGAAGAAGCATTCTAAGAGGCCCAGGAGAGAGCTTTAAGGCTTTGTTTTGACCCAATTTTAGAAATGACATGGTCACATGATTTGTTCTGTTGGTCAAGAGTGAGTCATAGGCTATCCAGGTTCATAGGCACCCAGGATGTGAATACTGCAAAGCCAGTTTTTGGGGTTATCTTTGAAGAACAGCAGCCACAGTTCCTTCATTTGGGAAGGTCACCCAGACTCAAGGGCCCACCAAAGGTAAAACATCATTTTTGGAAAATTCATGATTTTTCAAGATCTTAAACTAGTAAGTAGTAAGGGAATCCAATTACCAGACTGGCTCCAGGGCCATGCTCGATTATAGTGTATTCCTGTATGTGAGGAGTAGGGTAGAAAGATACAAATTACACATAAGATAACAGGTGCATAAGTAAAAAATTGGAAATCAAATGTCAAGTAAATTTCTTGAATAGGTTAAAATAAACAGATTAAAATATATGATGGAAAGAAATAATTGTCTCTTTACTTGTAAATAGAAAGTTTACCATTTACCTGACAAATTAACAAAAGATGCCTGTATCTCAGTGTAACCAGGTAGAGACTTTAGAGTCTAAATATATTCTATTCACTAAAAATTAGAACCAAACTAGATAACTTCAAGATGGGGAAATATTTTATTTTTTATAAATGAGCTAGTAGTGAGATTGAACCTAAACAAATGTAGATGTAAGTATAAGTAAATTTACAATATAATTTTTAAGAGATCAATATCATTTTAAAATAACAGATATCTGAACACTCCACAGTGAATGTAATTTCCTCATTTTGCATGGCAAAAATTAATATTCTCCATTCTTGATGTTGATAAGTGGGAAGATATAGGTTCTTTTTTTAAATGTAACTGCAACTACTAAGTAAATTTATTTTCTTTCTTTTTAAATCCTCACCAGAGGATATTCTTATTGATTTCAGAGAGAGGGGAAAGGAGAGAGAAAGAGAGAGAGAGAGAGTGAGAGAGAGAGAGAGAGAGAGAGAGAGAGAAACATCAATGTGAGAGAGAACATCAAACCCACAACCTAGGTATGTGCCCTGATCTGGAATGGAACCTGTGACCTCCCGGTGTATGGGATGACACTAATGATGCATATATTGCAAATTTCTAGTACAAATGAGGACCAGGATCTTGAAGAGATAGCAGCAGAAGAATAACAAAGAAATAAAGTGAGATCATTAAAAAATGAGAAAAATAAATTAGAATTACTAAAGACCAAATACATCATCTCCATAAATAAATGCAAGTGTTTCAAATCCCTCTTCAATAAGACAAATATTTCAATAACATATAGGGTTCATTAACACAAAATCTTTCAGAATGGGCCCAATTTCCAAATCCTACTATACTTAAAAAGTGCTAAAGGAAAATAAAAGTGAATGGTTATAAAAATATATAACAGGAAAATATAAATTAAAAGAAAGCATGTGTGACAATCTATACTAATAAAAGGGTAATATGCTAATTAGACCAGACGTCTTCCAGATGACCTTCTGGACATCCTTCTCGACAAGGCTGCTGTGGCTGCAAAGGGCCGGAGAGAGAGGGCCTGGCAGCTGCCATGCACCAGAAGTCCCACCTCTGTGTGTGAGCTGCACAGGAAACACTTTTTCTGACTGCTCATTGGCTAAGCTTGCAGTATGCTACTTGCTTGGGTAATAAGAATCCAAGAAGGTGATCCAGGGTTTTTACATTTCACTCCTGGAGGAAAAAATGGAGGTCCGCTGCTGGAGGGGCTAATAAATGTCATATCCTGCCCTAGCCAGTTTGGCTCAGTGGATAGAGCCTCGGCCTGCAGACTGCAGGGTCCCAGTTTGATTCTGGTCAAGGGCACATACCTAAGTTGCAGACTCCTCCCTGGCCGGGGCCCAGGTCAGGGCTCATGCAGGAGGCAACCAATCAATGTGTCCCTCTCACATTGATGTTTCTCTCTGTCTTTCCCTCTCCCACGCTCTCTAAAAATGAATGGAAAAAATCCTCAGGTGAGGATAGAAAGAAAGAAAGAAAGAAAGAAAGAAAGAAAGAAAGAAAGAAAGAAAGAAAGAAAGAAAGAGAGAGAAAGAAAGAAAGAAAGGAAAGAAAGAAAAAGAAAGATCATATTCTATGAAAGAGACATCTTGAAAATGCCTAAAGAAAGTTGTCATTTTTTTCATGGTGAAGGGACTGGAGTCCGTGTTGACGAAAACACCTTGGCGGCTGCGAGAGCTGAGTGCTGGCATCTGCAGCGGCTGGCAGTGGAGCAGCAGTGGGGTGATGGGTGTGGTACCTTCCCCTGATCAGCTAGTTGCCTCCTGCAGATGGAGGCCAGGCTGTGGCTTAGCCATCAGTAGGATATCCCCTGAGGGCTCCCTGACTGTGAGGGGGGCAGGCTCAGCTGAGGGCCCCCCTAGTGAATGAAACAAAAACACATTTTCTGACAAGGGATGTGTTCCACAATGAAAATATAATAATCATGAATGATAGATATAAAATATTAAAAGTGATTACATTCAGGTGCTTAGATTTAGGTGACATGACAACCATTGTATAAGAAAAATGCCTCATCAAATTAAAAAAAATAAGAAAATATTTAAATCATTTATTTATTTACTTTAGAGAGAGAGAGGAAGGGAGAGAGAGAGAAATAGAGAAACAACAATTTGTTTTTCTACTTATTTATATATTAACTAGAGGCCCGGTGCACAAAAATTTGTGCATTGGTGTGCGGGGGGGAGGGGGGGTGGGGGGGTGGAGGGTGTCCCTCAGCCCAACCTGTGCCCTCTCACAGTCTGGGACCCCTCGGAAGATAACCACCTGTTGGCTTAGGCCCATTCCCCAGGTGGCAGATGGAAGGCCCGATCCCACGGCGCCTTCCCCACCTCCCCGGGTCGCACACGGCAGGCCCTGATGGAGGCGTGGCGGGAGGCCAATGGCTCTGCCCTACCCTGCCACCCCGGATCACACAGGGCAGGCCTGGATGGCGGCGGGCGGGGGGGTGGGTTGCGCTGTCCCACCCTGCCTGCAGTATGCAAATTTAACAGCCATCTTTGTTGGGTTAATTTGCATACTCTTCTGATTGGCTGATGGGCATAGCAAAGGTATGGTCAATTAGCATCTTTGTCTTTTATTAGTGTAGATTGGTTAATTCTTGTATGTGCCTTGCCTAACTGGAGACTGAACCCACAACCTTAGTATATTGATAAGAAACTCTAACCAGGCGAACCGGTTTGGCTCAGTGGATAGAGCGTCAGCCTGCGGACTCAAGGGTCCCGGGTTCGATTCCGGTCAAAGGCATGTACCCTGGTTGCGGGCACATCCCCAGTGGGGGGCGTGCAGGAGGCAGCTAATCAATCTCTCTCATCGATGTTTCTAACTCTATCCTTCTCCCTTCTTCTTTGTAAAAAATCAATAAAATATATTTAAAAAAAAAAAAAGAAAGAAAGAAACTCTAACCAACTAAACTACCAGTCCAGGAACAAAAACAGAAGGACATGTTTAGAATGATGATTCACAATGTGAGTTTCTCTGTTAACCATGTAGAGTTGTGGATGAATTGTCTATAGAAAATAAAGCTTAGAATCATAAGTTGTCATATCAATTTCTTTCAGGGCAACAGAACTTGCTGGAACAACTGTGGGTCTTGCTTTCATGTCCACAATGTGCTCTCCTTACCATTCTGTTGGCATCATTAAGGTTTGTTTAAGATAATCAATTGGTCTGTGTTCAAGCCTGTCAAATGCTCTGTTTTGTGAATTTATTGAGAAGATAGTATAGTTTTTCTCCTTCAGTGTCTTGACATGGCTGATTAACACTGAATTTCAAATGTTGAATGTATCTTGCATATCCAGTATAAACCCAGCATGATCATAATGTTTTATCTTGTTTATGGGGTTATTCCAGGGGAAAAACATTGAAGTTATGAAAATAACTATTTTAAAGGAATACCCTAAATTTGAATAAATCTTAAAGCAATCTGGACAGTCTTGAAACACATTTATACTTTTCTTAAACTTTTTGATTTGTGTTTGTCTCCATGCAGAAAGTTGTATCTTACTAGATAGCAAAGTTTAACATATTTATTTCAACAGCATGAAACAATATTGTAAATGGTAGGTATTAACTTCTCATCTTACATGAGCGTTCCTTCCTTGCAAGTCTTGTACTGTGCATTATGAATCTATTTACTTGGTTCTTTGAAACAAAGAAAATAAGGGAATCAGGTTTCTGTGGATTGGTGTTATCAGCAAATTTGTCTCTCCATTGGGAAATTAAAACTAGCAATAATTTTCTAGTGTTTTTAAGTGCACCTCTAATTAGAAATAATCTGGTAATGAAGTTGGCCATTGGTTGGACTTTATACAATGGGGCAAGTCTGGAATTGATCGAAGTATAGTCTTGGCAGTAATAGAGTTGAAAAAGATACCTATGTGCTAAAGTTCTAGGTTAATCAACACTTTTAAAGCTCCATTAGTTAAACATATCAAAGTCTCCAATTGAATTAGAAGGTATTAAAAAGCAAGCTGGGGACTGGAGGTAGATTATTTAAAAAACATTTCTGATTCCTTATCATGCTGAATAAATTTTGCTATTTCTCATGGCAGGAAACTACTAATATCTTTCTCATTAAAATATTCCCCTTCACATATGTCTCAGATTTTGCTGCCTATGGGTTCCTTTAATAATTTTATGGTTTCCCCCATCTTACGTGTAAGTCCTTTATCCGTTTTGAGTTTATTTTTGTGTATGGTGTAAGTTGGTGGTCTAGTTTTATTTATTTATTTTTGCATGTATCTGTCCAATTTTTCCAACACCATTTATTAAAGAGAGATTGTCTTGATTCCATTGTATGCTCTTGCCTCCTTTGTCAAATATTAATTGAGCATAGTGGTTTGGGTTAATTTCTGGGTTCTCTATTCTATTCCATTGGCCTATATGTCGGTTCTTATGCCAACATTGATACAGCTCCTAGGGCAATGGAAACTAAAGAGAAAATAAACCAATGGGACTACATCAAAATAAAAAGCTTCTGCACAGCAAAAGAAACCATCTATAAAACAACAAGAAAGCTCACTGCATGGGAGAACATATTTGCCAATGTTATCTCCAATAGGGCTTAATCTCCAACATTTACAGGGAACTCACACAACTTAAAAAAAGGAAGATAAACAATCCAATCAAAAAATGGGCAATGGACCTAAATGGATACTTTTCGAAAGAAGACATAAAGAAGGCCAAGAGACATGAAAACATGCTCAAAGTCACTAATCATCTGAGAGATGCAAATCAAAACAACAAGGAGGTACCATCTCACACCTGTCAGAATGGCTATCATCAACAAATAAGCAAATGACAAATGCTGGCAAGGATGCGGAGAAAAAGGAAGCTTTGTGCACTGCTGGTGGGAATGCAGACTGGTGCAGCCACTGTGGAAAACAGTATGGAGTTTCCTCAAAGAACTAAAAATGGAACTCCCATTTGACCCAGTGATCCCACTAATAGGAATATATCCCAAGAAACTAGAAACACCAATCAGAAAGGATATATGAACCCCTATGTTCATAACAGCACAGTTTACAATAGTGAAGATTTTAAGTGCCCATCAGCAGTTAAGTGAACTAGAAAACTGTGGTACATTTACACAATGGAATACTATGCTGTGGTAAAAAGGAAGGAACTCCAATCATTTGCAACAGCATGGAAAGAGCTGAAGAGCATCATGCTAAGGGAAATAAGTCAGTCAGAGAAAGATAAATATCACATGATCTCACTTATTTGCGGATTATAATGAACAACATAAACTGATGAACAAAAATAGATCCAGAAATAGAGAAGCATCGATCAGATGCTCAAACCTCAGAGGGAAGGTAGGGGAGGGTGAGAATAAGGGGTAGAAGTCAACCAAAGGACTTGTATGCATGCATATAAGCATAACCAATGGACATACACACCAGGGGGCTGAGGGCATGAATGGGAGTAGGGTGGGGGAAAATGGGGGTATAAGGACACATACACTGAGTATCCAGATTAATATGACCACCTGATGTTTGTAGGCAAATTAGCTATAATTTCACGCTGAAGTTGCTAGAGGGCCAGACCATTATAAATAGGGAAGCAGGTTGTTTACCATGATAGTAGAAGTGATTTTTTTCTGAAGACATGGGTAAACAATGTGATTTAACAGCCTTTGAACATGGGATATATTTGAACGTGAGTGGCCAAGTTATTATGACCACCCCATCAGTACTTCGTTGGGCCACCTTTTGCCCTCAATACTGCAGCAATTCTTCTTGGCATTGACTCCACGAGATGTTGAAAGGTGATGCGAGGAAGCTGACACCATGCCTGATGAATAACACTGTCCAGTTCTGTGAGATTTGATGGTTGTGGAACCAGCTGCCTGATGGCTCTTTTAACTTCGTCCTACAAATGCTCAATTGGATTGAGATCTGGTGATTGTGGGGGCCACCTAAGCAAGGTAAAGTCTCCCTCATGTTCTTGAAACCATTCCTGCACAATACGAGCACCGTGGCATGGAGCATTGTCTTGTTGGAAGAAGCCATCTCCATTGAGATACGCCATCAACATGATAGGATGAACTTGATCAGCAACGGTACTTAGGTATGCTGTGCTATTCAGACGTTGTTCCACACTAATTAAAGGCCCCAAATCATGCCAGGATAACACGCCCCAAACCATAACACTGCCCCCACCAGCTTGAAGGGTTGTACTCATGCATGTGGGGTGCATGCTTTCATGCTGTTTCCGCCAAATTCTCACTCTGCCATCTGCATGATGCAACTGGAAATGTGATTTATTGGACCACATGCCTTTTTTCCAATTCTCAACTGTCCAATCCTTGTGTTCCTGTGCGAATTGGAGATGTTTTATCTTGGTAACTGTAACAGCAAAGGTGTTTGAACAGGCCTTCGGCTTCCATATCCCATACGATGCAGTGTACGGCTGATTTGCCTACAAATGTCAGGTGGTCATAATAATCTTGCCACTCATCATAACATATATCCCATATTCAAAGGCTGTTAAATCACATTGTTTACCCATATCTTCAGAAAAAAATCACTTCTACTGTCATGGTAAACAACCTGCTTCCCTATTTATAATGGTCTGGCCCTCTAGCAACTTCAGTGCAAAAGTATAGCTAATTTGCCTATAAACATCAGGTGGTCATAATAATCTGGACACTCAGTATATGTAATACCTTAATCAATAAAAAAATTCCCCATTCACAAGAAAAAAAAGAGCAGGTAATATGACCTGTGATGGGCATTTAGTATTGAAGTTTTTGTTTTATTTTATTTTGGTTTGTGTGTGTGTGTGTGTGTGTGTGGAAAGAGAGAGAGAGAGAGAGAGAGAGAGAGAGAGAGAGAGAGAGAGAGAGAGAAGAAGAAGAAGAAGAAGAAGAAGAAGAAGAAGAAGAAGAAGAAGAAGAAGAAGAAGAAGAGGAGGAGGAGGAGGAGGAGGAGGAGGAGGAGGAGGAGGAGGAGGAGGAGGAGGAGGAGGAGGAGGAGGAGGAAGAGGAGGAAGAGGAGGAGGAAGAGAAGGAAGAGGAGGAGGAGGAGAGGGGAGGGGAGGAGAAGGACAGGACAGAGGACAGATGGTGGGTAGGGTGAGTAGGCTGAAGCTAAAATCAGCCTCTCCACTTGGCTACAATAAAAACATTTAATTATACCCTGAGTGATACTTTAGTTTACAAACTAGATCTGTTTCTTGTTCTCACCCTTAGGACCACAGTGACAATGTGCTTAAAGTAGCAGGGACAATGGCCCATGAAATGGGCCATAACTTTGGGATGTTTCATGACTCCCATGATTGCAAGTGCCCTTCTACAATCTGTGTGATGAACAATGCACTAAGGTAAGGCTCTCTGGGAAGATGCTATTTCTCCTTTTTTTTTTTTTTATTTTCTCTGGGGTGTGCTACTCTTTTATGTCATCTTCCATAACATGGTCAAGGTTTTAAATGATTAAACAGCATCGTCACAAATGTGTATCTATACCAAACTACTTTATCCTTCCCCTATATGCTAATATTTTTCATTAACTAACAGAGTTTAAACATCTTTTCTCTTTGCTCTTAGGGTGACTTGTCATTTTATCCTCATCTTTATGAAATCATTAGCATTTATCAAATTTTGAATAAGTTTAGATTGGGTGGCAGTGAGGAAAAAGTTCTAGGAGAAAAATCTAAAGAAGAAAGTTCTTACAGGAAGATGAAGAGAGAGTCTGTGAAAAGGGGATTACTCATTTCTGCCTTGCCTTAGGCAAACTTACCAGGCAATTTTATCTTTTAAAATTCCAGACTCCCCTTTACACAATCATTTCCTCTTTTTCATTTCCTTCTTTGCTTCTCGATATAGGATTAGTCTCCATTCTGCGAAATAGCATATGGCTGCTTACCAACTACATATCTGATGCTATTTTTTCAAAATATTAGTGCATTTAATATATATAGATTTCAGAGAGGGAGAAAGAGAGAAACATCAATGATAAAAGAAAATCATTGATCGGCTGCTTCCTGCAGGCCCCACACTAGTGATTAGGCCCGCAACCTGTGCATGTGCCCTGACAGGAAAGCGAACTCTGAGCTCCTGGTTCATCCATCGACGCCCAACCACTGAGTGAAACTATCTGGGCTGCATTTTTGTTTTTTTAAACAGCAGCCCGGATTCTGTATTCTGCCCATTTAGTTGGAGGTGTTTATGTCCATTCAGGTGGGCTAATTTAGTATGTAAATGAGCTTATGACTTGGTAGTTGATCAGTGGCTTTGCTTTGTTCTTTTGGGGAAGGTTTCGGGTGTACCATCCCCAATATCTGATATTTGTCTCCTACCTGCTCAGCATAACTGCATTCTCTTTTCTCTTTCCTTATCTTCACAGCTTCCATACACCTACAGACTTCAGTTCCTGCAGCCGTGTCAGCTATGCCAACTTTTTTGAAGATAAATTATCAAATTGCCTCTTTAATGTTCCGTTACCTACAGATATCATATCCAACCCAATCTGTGGGAATCAATTGGTAGAAATGGGAGAGGACTGTGATTGTGGGACTTCTGAGGTACAACTGAGTCCTTTATATAAAAGCTTAGTTTGTTTTTAAATTGCCAAGAAGATAAACTATACAACTCTATAGTGTTTGTACACTTGAAATCTATGTAATTTTATTAACCGACATCACCGTGATGCATTTAATTTTAAAATAAAATGAAATACTTTTGAGATATATTTTTAAAAATGATATAATGTGGTTCACTATAAAAGTTCATGTTTCTTGTGATTTTTGTATTCACTTGTAAATACTTGCCAGGCCAGCTTTTCTAACAATGAATCCCGCATTGCTTAACAGACCTTCTTGGATTTCTTCCCCATGTCTAGTTTTTTAATACCACTCACCAGCCAGGGCTTTGTGTCCTTATCCCCCCCTTTCTGTCAGAAGTACTTCACATCTCTTATGTGCCCTATGACTTCTTGAGCAGTCACTTTAGACAGAGCACTGCAACAGTGCTCAGAGAGTGGAAGTAGCTTTCCAGGCTGGTAAACGAAGGAGCCACGGTGTGGACTCAGGTGTGCTGTTCAGCAGTCCCACAGCACCCTGCACAGTTTATCCCTTGGTGACTCAGGACTTGTTGCCGCTATAAGTGCCTGGCCTGATCCCACCTTGTTCACAGGGCAGCCGGGATTCTGCATAGGACCCTTGCCCCACTCTTATTAACACTTAATATAAGTAACATGTCAAACCCCCAGGGGTCCAGCTTCTCAGTAACTTCAAGTAGGATTTCAAATCTATTCATTCTGTGAGAAAGAGCAAACTTTCTCAGATGATACTTATATTTGAAATTGGGTAAGAATTTTAAGCTTAAATATTATAATTCTGAATATGCCATTCGTCTTGGGGAAACTCAATTGCTACAGCAAGAAAGGGGCACGATTTCTCAAAAACTAGGCAAGGAGAACAAAACAAAGTATACTGCTTTATGTAGAGTTGAATTGGATGTAGAAATTTAATAAAGAACTATATTTTTAGACTTTCAGTTACATGTTCTAGATATTAAATTTACTGCTGAATAGATACATAACTGATCAGTTGAATTAATTATGTTCTTTATTTAGATAAATGTTATTTTTTTAATGAACTATCCTTTGTGTGTTTGTTTGCTCTCATATTTTCAGTATTACTATGGGAAGCTTGATGAACTAAAAAAAGATATTCAAATTAAAAAATATATGAGTAGAATCAGAAAAATACCAAACCCTTCGTTGTTCTAAAATCTCAGCTTTTCTAATGTTAAGCTTTGTTGCTGTTTTTTTATTTTCCTGAAAATTATGTTCAGACTATACCAAAATAGTTCTGCTCAATGAACAAATTGTATTATGAATTGTGCTGAAAGGAGACCAACAAGTAATTTGGTATTTGCAATTGTTTTTGGTATTCCTTAGGAATGCACCAACATCTGCTGTGATGCTAAAACATGTAAAATCAAGGCAGGTTTTCAATGTGCGTTAGGAGAATGCTGTGAAAAGTGCCAGGTAAGATTCTTTTATTCTGTCTTAACCATGATGACTACCCTTTATTTTTTTATGTTAAAATCGCAGGGGTTGTGTTAAATGAAATAAGGAAAAAAGCATTTTCCTGTCTCTACATAATGCTACCTGCCACTTATCAAGTCCTCCCTGAGGGCTTGACAAACATGGGCTATTTTTTCCTCCAGCACCCCTTGGAAGTAGGTATTAGCATCTCATTTTGCTTTTGAGGGAAAGGAGGCTCAGATCAGAAAATGTGCAGATTAATAGGATCACTAAATGGCAAACTCCAAATTTACTGGTTCTTGTAAACTTACCTCCCTTTAGATGGAAGATCCTCTGAAGTTACAGATTGAAACCTCCTTGAAAGTCTTGACAACGATACATTCAATAAAGTCAGAAATAACTTCCTTCTTTGCATCTAGGATATTGCTTGGTTTTCTTTGGTACTTTTCTCCTTGATATTTCTATAATGTTTCTACTACAAATCCAGAAATATTGATTGCTTAAAGAATCAGAGTGTTGGCCAAAATCAATGGAATTGACATAATAGGAGATGGCTTTAGCTTATACCAGGTAAATGTAAACTGGAATAGAATGATGCCCCTAACTATCTTGGCAATAAAAGGCCAAAGGGAAAATATTATTTGTGTTAATTTGAAATATTTGGTAAGCCAGGTGGAATACAGCCTTATCTCAATGTTTCTCCCCCCCCCACCCCCCTGCAGTTTAAAAAGGCTGGTACAGTGTGCAGACCAGCAAAAGATGAGTGTGACCTGCTGGAAATGTGTGATGGTAAATCTGGTATTTGCCCTGCTGATCGATTCCAAGTCAATGGCTTCCCTTGCCAGGATGGGAAGGGCTACTGCTTGATGGGGATGTGCCCTACGCTGCAGGAGCAGTGCACCGAGCTCTGGGGAGCAGGTAGGAGGACACATCCCAGTGTTGCTGGCATTCCTGCCTCTCTCTACACATATGCAGCAAAACAAAACATGCTATTGCAAGTGACAGTGTTTAATCATGGCCAAAGTGGCGTGCTGTCCCAATCTTCTTTCTTAGCAACTACACCACTGCATTTTAGGACCAAAGGTCAGTTTGGGGTTTGCTAGATTTAGCAAATAAAAATAAGAATGGGCCAGTGAAACTTAAATTTCAGATTAATAATCGTTTTTAGTATTCATATGTCTCGTGCAATATTTGAGGCAAACTCAACAAAAACCTTTATTTGTGTATCTGAGATTTAAATGTAAGTGCTGGGTTCAGTATTTTATCTGGTAACACCAACCAAGATCTTTTCCAGATAAGTAAACCCTTGGAAGTTTGTATGCATGCATGTGCATACATGTGCATTTGTATGCATGTATGTATGTAGGTGTGTGGAGGTGATCAGAGGTGGACAGAGAGTTAAAGAAAGGGGGAGAAGAAAAAAGGAAGACACTTGGAATGCAGAAGAGCAATGAAGACAAATGAATGATCTTTAATTCTTATCCTACAGAGAGGAATGTTCATTGTGCATTATCTGCTTACAAGCAAATCTATGATGAAACAAATGATTCAAATAAACCACCATGGACATATTTCTGAAAAGAGTGATACCCCCTCAGGAAGAGCCTCAGGCAGGTCCTCCAGGGGGAGCTCCAGGAGGAGGCGCTGCCATCACAGGGCAGGGCAGCTCCAGGAGTGTTACTGCCCCTGATCACCCTCCAGTGGGGCAAGATGTGCAGGTGGTAGACAATGATAGTGATAATCCTGATGCTGGCTAGGCCTAGGCTAATGTGTGTGCTTGTATCTTTGTTTTAACAAAACATTTAAAAATAAAAAAAAAAATAGAGAAAAGCTTCTAGAATAAGTATATAAAGAAAAATTGTGCACAGCTCTGTACAACGAGTTTGTGTTTTAAGCTGTGTTATTATAAAGTAGTTGAAACATCCTATATAATAAAAGCCTAATATGCAAATCACCCAACTGGTGGAACGACTGGTCGCTATGATGCTCACTGACTACCAGAGGGCAAATGCTTAATGCGGGTGCTGCCCACAGGCCCCAGGCCAGCCAAGGTGGGTGCCAGTCGGGGACCACCCCGTGATCACCTCACCAGTCACCCCACAGATTGGCCCTAATCACCAGCCAGGCCTAGGGATCCTACCTGTGCATGAATTTCGTGCACTGGGCCTCTGGTTTAAAAATATAAAAGTTGTATAAAGTAAAAAAGTATAGTAGGCTAAGTTTAGTTTATTATTGAAGAAGGAAAATTATCTTGTTATACCTTTAGTGTAGCCTAAGTGTACAGTGTTTATAAAATTTACAACAGTGTACAGTAATGTCCTAGGCCTGCACATTCATTCGCCACTCACTCACTGACCCAGAGCCACTGCCAGCCCTGTAAGTTCCATTGATGATAAGTGCCCTACACAGGTGTTCCACTTACCTTCTATATCATAATTGTACTGTACCTTTTCTGTGTTTAAATACATGAATACTTACCATTGTGTTACAATTGCCTACAGTATTCAGTACAGTAACATGCTGTACAGGTGTGTAGCGTAGGAACGATAGGCTATACCATATGGCCTAGGTGTATAGTACACTATACTCTCCAGGTTTGTGTAAGTAAACTCTATGATATTCACACAATAACAAAATCACTTAAAGATGCATTTCTCATAATGCATTGATATTGTTAAGGAATGAATAACTACAAATAGCATTTCTCATGATGTTTTTAAATTTATTTTATTTTTTAATTACAGTTTACATTCAACACTATTTGTATTGGTTTCAGATATACAGTCAAGTTAGACAATCATATAATTTACATGGTGATCCCCCTGGTATTTCAAGTACCCATCTGGCACTGTGCATAATTATTTCAATATTGTTGACTATATTCCCTATGCTATTGGTTTATATTCCATTAACCCTTTGCAGCATTGAACTTCCTTTCTGTTTTCTTTGAAATTATGTTACTGCTGATCCTTCCTGGTCCCAGGAACCAAGGTTGCAGATAAGTCATGCTACAGGAAGAACGAAGGTGGGTCAAAGTATGGGTACTGCCACAGAGTGAACAACACACATATTCCCTGTAAAGCAAAGTAAGTGGCTTTCAAACAATACTTTGAACCTTTTTGCTCCACAGACTAGAGAAATTGTTTACTTACAGCTACATGTTCTGATTTATTCCATTTCAAGGAAAAGTTAATTTGGAAATCATTCATTTGACCGATAGTCATTGAGTGACTATTATGTGCCATGTTTCTAGCTAGGCACTGAGTTAACGAGAGAAATAAGAATTAATGTCTTTTTTCAAGTCCATCCTGGTGGGTGTTTTAGATGACATCAGGTACAATCACTGTTAAAGAGAATGAATGTTTGAGACGGGACAAGCAAGGTAAATAAATGGTCCTGATTGGAAATATGTCCATTAATATTCCAGTATATTTTAGGTACTTTCCCATCTGATATCTTTTATTATGATTCTAGGGGCACAAATATTTACCTACTTAAAGAAATAATTAATAACTGCTTGTACAGTTTTATGTAAACTTGCCATGGAATTATATCAAGAAAAAAAAAAGGCAGCAAGAGAAAAAATTGACAATTCACCTGAAGAATGTTTTAATCTTATATTGATATTATAGAAAAAGTATAGAATGTTATATGCAATAAACTTGGTATTTTTCTCTAATATTTCTTGATTGTGCAATTTTAAGATGACATTAAAAATTCAAATTATAATAAATTAAACTCCTAGTACCTGCTCCAAATTTTTCACTAAGTAATATGCAACGAGATAAGCATTTCTCAAAGTTTTTCTATTAAATACTAATTTTTCTAGATAATAGATATTGCCAAGCAAACTATATTTTGTGGTTGTTTTATTATTTTTTTCTAAGCAAAATGTATTTTAGACATAGGATAATCTCTTGGGGAGGTTGGGCCTAAAGGATGGATTATCATATTCTGTGCTTTCTCCTTTATAGGATATCAGGGCAGATTCAAAGGGGGAAATATGTAAAAGGAAATATTTTGGGAAAAGAGTAATATGGAGTATGAGTGGTAATGAGTGGGGAAAGAGAGCAGGGTAGTTGCGTTTTTCATCGACAGCATGTGCATATCCCATTTTCTTATATCACCATTGTGATTACAATAGAGGCACAGGCTTTTCATTCTACTCACAGGCTGCCTTTCTAGTCACGTTTCAATAGTAACTGGCTGTCATGAGAGTAAGCCTGTAATTCCCTGTATCCTAGAATATTCATTATAAGCCTTCCCAAGAAAAACAAATTTGAAGAGGATGCATGCCTTTCTCTACTGCTCGCTTGTGTTTTTCGACAACCACCGAAGACATCAGAAGGATCCGATTCTATCTGCTCTCAGAATACTTCTTCATAGCTCTCCTCTGAATTGTGCATGAAGCAATGGTCTGCACTTTTATTGGCGTTGACTTTACTCTCTTCGGTGGTAAACACATGGTTTTCTTGAGTGCTGAGCAGTGTCATCTACCTTTGCAGGGAGATAGTTCTTTCAGTAACCCCACATGAGGATCAACTAAGGCTAAGATTTATATTGACACAACCATAGTGGAAATAATTCTACTGCAACTCATGAAAATAAACAAGAAAAGTTAACTGAAACAAGATAGAAATTGACTTCTTAGGTGCCCTCCATTATATTAGAAATCCATTCTCCCTATATGTTCTAGCTCTTATCATATGTGACCTCCATTCCCAAGCGTTTCTATTGGTCTTTCTTGGGCTTCTCCAGGCATCACTTTCCAATAAGCAAAAAGGACAAACAAACAAGAACAAAAAAGTAAGGTCACCTTCAAGAATTTGTACTTAAGATTCTGCTTCTTTTCTATTGTCCAAAACTAGTAGCATGGGAATCTGAGAAATGTGTTTTTGTTGTTGTTACAGCAACAATATGCCTTCCCATATTCAATGGTGCTATTACTGAGGAATAAGAAAAATGAAATAAAGGAGAACCAGGAGTCTCTGCTATAGGGAGAAATACCTTTAGTTCAATCTGGATAGTTGGGGAGCTAGCAACTGCAATTTGGTCCTGGTAATTTAACTGCAGCCCGTTTTTTACTTTTCCTTAGTGATGCCATATGTGGGAAGTTGTTCTGTCAAGGTGGGTCAGATAATTTGCCCTGGGAAGGACGTATAGTAACTTTCCTGACATGTAAAACATTTGAACCCGAAGACAGCAGTGAAGAAATAGGCATGGTAGCTAATGGAACTAAGTGTGGAAATAAGAAGGTAGGTTGAAATCGTGGCTTTTATTCAAATGTATTTTTAGTTTTAGTTTCTTGTTTAGTTTTTCAAGGCATCCTTGTGCTTCATAGGAGCAGTTTTCAAAGCAATGCTTATGTCATTCATTTAGGCCTGCCTGCATGTATTCCCTCAGTATTATTTAATCAGTACCTACTATGTGCTTAGCACTAGGTTGTTAAACTTAAGTAAGTTTTATTGCCCCTAAATTGGTAGGTTTTCAATGAATGATAGTCTCACTAATAATAATAGATCAAAATATTATTTATTTTGTATATAAATGATAATTATTAATATTGTAGAAGATGTGATATTAACATGTTTTCTGTAATATTTTTTGTTGGAATGGGTACCTTGTATCATGTGCTATGCTCAGCTCTATGCTAAATATCAGTCTTAAGAGAGGAAGTGGGGTAAGGGGATGACCCCTGAGGAATGAAGTGAAGTAAGAAAATCTTTAAAGAGGACTCTCTAAATATTTTATTTTATTTTATTTTATTTTATTTTAAATTAAATCTTTATTGTTCAGATTATTACATTTGTTCCTCTTTTTTTTCCCCCCATAACTCCCCTCCTCCCAGTTCCCGCCCCACCCTCCGCCCTCACTCCCCACCCACTGTCCTCATCCATAGGTGCACGATTTTTGTCCAGTCTCTTCCCGCATCTCCCACACCCCTTTCCCCCCCAGGAATAGTCAGTCCATTCCCTTTCTATGTCCCTGATTCTATTATAATCACCAGTTCATTCTGTTCATCAGATTATTTATTCACTTGATTCTTAGATTCACTTGTTGATAGATGCATATTTGTTGTTCATAATTTGTATCTTTACCTTTTTCTTCCTCTTCCTCTTCTTAAAGGATACCTTTCAGCATTTCATATAATCCTGGTTTGGTGGTGATGAACTCCTTTAGCTTTTCCTTATCTGTGAAGCTCTTTATCTGACCTTCAATTCTGAATGATAGCTTTGCTGGATAAAGTAATCTTGGTTGTAGGTTCTTGGTATTCATCACTTTGAATATTTCTTGCCACTCCCTTCTGGCCTGCAAAGTTTCTGTTGAGAAATCAGCTGACAGTCGTATGGGTATTCCCTTGTAGGTAACTGAGTTTCTTTCTCTTGCTGTTTTTAAGATTCTCTCTTTATCTTTTGCTCTTGGCATTTTAATGATGATGTGTCTTGGTGTGGTCCTCTTTGGATTCCTTTTGTTTGGGGTTCTCCGCACTTCTTGGACCTGTAAGTCCATTTCTTTCACCAGGTGGGGGAAGTTTTCTGTCATTATTTCTTCAAATAGGTTTTCAATATCTTGCTCTCTCTCATCTTCTGGCACCCCTATAATTCTGATGTTGGTACGCTTGAAGCTGTCCCAGAGGCTCCTTACACTATCCTCGCATTTTTGGATTCTTTTTTCATTTTGCTTTTCCGGTTGGGTGTTTTTTGCTTCCTCGCATTTCAAATCATTGACTTGATTCTTGCGCTCCTCTGGTCTGCTGTCGGGAGTCTGTATAATATTCGTTATTTCATTCCGTGTATGCTTAATTTCTAGTTGGTTCCCCAATATAAGATCGAGGGTCTCATTAGTTTTCTTGTAGATTGCATTAAGTTTATCGGCGGCTTCTAAACAGTTCTTGAGAGACCTTAAAAGTGTGGTTCTGAACTCTATATCTTCCATTGACAATTTTGTCCTGTTTCTTTGTCTCCGCATTTTGTTATGCTTCCTTGGTGCACCCCCTAGTGGTCTTTGTTCGCAGTCTTATAGTTAAATCTTGATTGTTGTAGCTAATTCCAGGGAGGGTTTGACCTCCAGGCCAAGTGGCTATGAGAATCAGCTGTGTCAGTAGTGAGAGAACTTCTGTCCTCTAGGGAGGTGCTAATCTAGCCTTTGCCTGAGGCTATCCGGCAAATGCCTCTGTGCAGGGCTTGTGCGGGGCAGGTCGAACAGGATCAACAGGGTGGGCCGGAGAGAGCAGTTATGGCGGCTCTCAGTCCTGTCCCCAGGGGCTCTGCCTCTCTGAGTCCCAGCACCCACTGCAAAGCTCAGAGAGAAAGCTGCACTTGCTCTGACCGAAGCCAGACAGTCCCGCTTCTCCCGTTTGAGTCTGGGTCGCTAAAGACTCGCCCGGATCTGGAGCTCAGAGTCTGCGACTCCCTCCCGATTGAAAACGCCAACCGCGCCCTCCGCCGCCGCCAGCCCGCTCCGCGCACTCCGCACCTCAGAATTTGACTTCAGCACTGCGCCTCCTCTGAGTGTCCGTATGCGTTTCTCTTTCCTCCTAGTTGTAGGACTTCCACTCAGCCAGCGTTCCTGTGGTTCTGGGTGATGTCCCTTCCGTTTTTTGGTTTCACTTTTGAAGTAGTTGTTCAGAGCAGCAAACTCCGGCGTTAACCTATGCCGCCATCTTGGTTCTCCTAAATATTTTATTTTATATATTTATCTATATCTATATCTATATCTATATCTATATCTATATCTATATCTATATCTATATCTATATCTATATCATCTATATCTATCTATCTATCTATCTTTATATTTATCTCTATATATCATCTATATCTTTACAACTTTATTGTTGAAAATGTTACATATGTCCCCATTTTCCCCCATTGACTCCATCTAGCTTGCTCCCACTAACTGCCCCAGGCCTCCACCACCCTATTGTCTGTGTCCATGGGTTATGTATATAGCATACAAGTTCTTAGTTGATCTCTTCCCGCCCACCCACTCTGCCTTCCCTCTAAGATTACGTAGATCCCATCTTCTTATTTTCAAAAGAATGCTGTGATTTCCTAAATAAAAAGGTAAGTTTAATAATGGTATTAGTGGCTAATAATATAAGACCAAATTCCAAGCAATTTGAAGAACTGATACTATTGGACATTAGTGTCAACTTCTTGTTTTTCACATCATTTTCAGGTTTGCATTAATGCAGAATGTGTAGATATGGAGAGGGCCTACAAATCGACCAATTGCTCATCTAAGTGCAAAGGACATGCTGTAAGTTTTAAAAATGTTTGCCCAATCTTGCTGAATCTTATGTAATTTTTAGGTCAGTTTTGATTATATAAAACAATGTGTCAGTAACTGTGAAAATAGAAGGATCTCTTACCCTTTGAGACAACATGGAGGGACCTGGAGATTATTATGCTAAGCTAAATAAGCCAGTCAGAGAAAGACAAATACCCCATGATCTCACTTATATAGAGTCTAATGAACAAAATAAACTGACAAACAAAATAGATCCAGAAACATGGAAGCATGCAACAGTCTAACACCAGAGGGAAGGGATAAGGCAGGAAGAGACTAACCAAAGAACTTATATGCATAACCCATGGACATAGACAATAGTGTGGTGAAGGCCTGGGGAGGGCACAGAGCAGACAGAAAGAAGGCGGGGGAGGGGGCGGTGGGGGGAAGGGGGATATTTGTAATACTTCAGCAATAAGGATAATTGTTTTCAAAAATCCACCAACCAAAAAAGAAAGCTTATGTTTGTCTAACCCATCACTAGGGTGTTTCAACGAAAAATTTCTTTCAAGAACCTGGTCTATATGAAATTCCTATTATTGATTTGTATGTTCTGTAGATAGCTGAAAGATGCAGAATTGGGGTTACTCCATTTTTATAATGGATTTAATGGTGGATGGGTAGGCCCTTGGGTCAGTGGACAGTCTAGCATGGAAACTGACAAGATCATTGATCCCGCAGGTGTGTGACCATGAGCTCCAGTGTCAGTGTAAAGAGGGCTGGGTCCCTCCTGACTGTGATGACTCCTCTGTCGTCTTCCGTAGGTAACATTCCACATCTAACCTGAGAAATTGCTGTCTTTTCCAAGCTTTTCTTTCAGATTACAAAAGATTTCATTGCCTCTTTTCTCTCCTCTTGAAATTCCTGTCCTATAAATAATGAATCTACAATGTTAATCTTCAAAGTTTCTTTAACAGGTTTTTAATCCAATTTTCCACATCCCTATGCATTTACTCTACATACAAAAAAGATTTCTTCAAATGTATATTTGTAATCTTACTTTAACTTCCCAAATTCTCTTTTCTGATTATTCTATTTTCATACCATCCTTGACTTAAAGTATAGATATCCTCATAAAACTCTCTAAGAATCTGACAGATTGTTTCCCATAGATTTAATTCTATGAACTGGATTATTTCTATTTCTTTTTAAAAGTGTATTTTTATTGATTTCAGAGAGTAGGGAGAGAGAAATAGAAACATCAATGATGAGAGAGAATCATTGCTCAGCTGCCTCCTGCATGGCCCCTACTGGGATTGAGCCCACAACCCAGGCATGTGCCCTGACCAGTAATCGAACCCTGACCTCCTGTTTCATAGTTTGATGCTCAACCACTGAGCCACACTGGCCAAGCTATCTCTATTTCTTTTGAGTTTGACTGTTCTGTTTTTTCACCCTGTCTCTTGTATTTCATTGTGTCATTTTACTTCAGGGTATGTGATCTTTTGTTACATGTGGGATTAAGTCAACTTGAATTAGCTCACATGGATTTTCTTTGCATGAGTGTGTGTGTTTGCTGTACCTACTCATAACCTCTCCTGATGGGAGATCTGGCTGTGAGCTCTATCATGTGGGAAGCAGCCAAAGTGGGGATCCTCATCACTAGTTGCCGTGGTGAAGAGTACTTTGCCTTGAGGAGGGGGGTCTTTATTTCATTTACTTCCTGAGAGATTTTATTTTTCTTTGCACTCAATTTCTCCTTGATTCTTCCTTCTCTCTATGATCTAGTATGGTATTGCCATTAGATCTGTGCTGCTTCTCAGGCTCTTATGTCCCCCATTGTTTCTAGAGAGTTCTCTAGAAGGGCTTTGTCTTGAGGCGTGTGCATGCTTGTTCTGTATACACAAGGGATGGAGATGGGCCTGAATGAATCATCTGTCCCAAGTTCAGATCCTCTGTTGACTTCCCCCCAAAAAATAGCATCTATTCCTGATGTTTGGACTAATTATGTTTTTAATTTGTTGATTCTTTGTTAGACTTCCCAAGAAGAAATAGCATCTACTTCTGGTGTTTGGAGCTTTAATCTACTCTGTTTCTGTCCACATAAATCCTTTATTTCCTATATTTTTATAATTATTTTCATTTTTTATGGAGGGTGGAAAGTTTCAGATATTTGAAGTGAAATTGTCATCTCACCTAGAATTCTACTACTGTTGTCTTCATCTATGTGTGTTTACACTTGTGAACTTTTCTTATATTAAAAAATAATCTCATTGAGCTGCTGATCTCTACAATAAGAGAGTAATACCTGTTTGATTTTCTCTTCGAAGCTGTACCTCCTGGGATCTATGGTTTCTGATTATTATAAGAAAAATGAATGTTTCAAATAGCAAAAGATTGGAGTTACAGTGATTACTTAGATAAGCAGGTAAAAGAAAAAAAACACTAAATAGAACCAAGAATTTTATTTAAACCATTTCCCAATTTACAGGGTCACATCATTTCTTTTATGTTCATAATTTTTGTAATATAGGGCAAAAATCAGTAGAATACTTAGTTGTGTCTCTATCAATTGCCTTACATCTCAGCTCCTTATTTGCTACTGACAGAAATATGATTTTAAGGCTTCAGTTTCTATTTCCCTGTTTTATTTCAGCCTTGAGTTTGAAAAAATATTTCACTCCTTTTCTGCCATGCACCTTACTTCATAGTCTCTCTAACTTTCCAGTCATTTTCCCCAATTATTATAAACATCATTGCTTCTAATACTTCTCCATAGTATTTGCTTTAACTATCTCATACAAAATGTCTCATATAGATTTCCCCTTATTTATTCTATCTAAATAATATTTTACTAATCATGATCAAAATACATCTTCATTTTACTGGCTATGAGAGATTTGCCAGAGAATGCATTTTCTCTAGGAAAGGGTAGATGGAATTTATGCTAAATGACGAATAAGGACTAATGTGATATATACGTATGAATTCCCAGATCCTCACTAGGCCTGGGTTCTCTTTGTTGTAGACGTCTCCATTTTGGTTGGGGTGCTGTTTCCTGTGGCTGTCATATTTGTGGTGTGTGCTATAGTATTCAGGCACCAAAGCACCAAAGGAAAGCAAAAGAAAGTCCAGAGGTAGGTTTTTATCGGGGGACTTTTGGGCCTCTAAAGAACTTTAAATTCAAAGATGTGACCCAAATTCTCAAATTTAAATTTGATTTACTTCAAATACTTAGAAATAAGTATAGGCCTGGCTGGTGTTGCTCAGTGGTTAAAGTTTGACCCAAGAACCAAGAGGGCTCCATCCCCAGTAGGGGGTGTGCAGGAGGGAACTGATCAATGAAGTTTCTCTCTCATCCACATTTCTATCTCTCTATTCCCCTCCCTTCCTCTGTCTCTAAAAAAATTAATAAAAACATGTATTAAGAAAAAAAATAAGTACAGATACATTTTGCTTGGATCAGAGGCTGAGTATTCCTTTTACTGAGAAAACTTTCACAGTCAGGCATGTCTTTTTCTCCTGTAATTACTGTATATATATTTAATAATAAGATTAATAACTCTTTATTAAAGATTTTGTGCTCATTATAATAATACAATATATAATCTTTATTGATTATTACCTTTATGATAAACACTGTTAGTAAGTCCTTTTACGTACATTATCTCATTTAATCCTCTTAAGAATATCATGAGGGTAGTAACTATTATTTCTATTCTATAAATTAAAAGATGTTATATATCACTTTTTCAATAATCATGCAAGGCCAGGCACTTCACATTTTACTGATATGGAAAGAGAAGCTCAGAGAGGTCAATAAACATGTTCAAAGTTGTACAAAATAAGTGATGGAGTCTTGATATGCACCAAGATCCGTCAGTCTTTTGAAAATGGTCTTGGCACTACAGCATCTTTGTTGCATTTTTTTTTAAAAAAAAAGCTAACTATTTATCCAAAATGGGCTATTAATAAATAGTGAAGGAATAAAACAAATCATTCATTAGATGGCGTAATTTAGATAAAAGTTGGATTCCACACCATCATTATTAGGATTCAGGGCTCTGCAAGAGAATCAGAAAGAAAATCAGTGGTGGTAATGATGAATTACAGAACACAGAAACCTGAAGAGCATCCTAGGGAGCAGGTGAAAACCCAGGCATTCACTAATTATGGTCAAAGGAAACTGGCAGATTTATCATGAGTTTCCCCCTAATGGTGAACACACTGCTTGGTCAATGTGCATGATATCCTTTCACCTACAGGTCACCGTCTGCCCCTGGCACCAGGCCATGCAGAGAGAAGAGGAAACCACAGACAATGAAGGCTCTTCATTGCAAAGAGGTGAAACATAGTCTGTACTATATTTGCTGTGGATCCCAATTTGTGATTTTCTCCCTATCTTGTGATGACCATCTATCCGTCATTTCTACTCATCAGTGTTTTATAAATGTATGATGCTTCTGAGTACGCAGCAATATTGTGGGCTCTGTAACTACACATTCAGAAAGTTGTCCTCTGCCTTTGGTTAAATGTAGAAGTCTGCTTAAAATGCGGAACCTCACTGGCTGCTTTGCTGAGATTCACAAAATGCAAACAGAATAAGAGAATAAGGAGGGCAGATGTCAGATTTCTCTCTCTCTCTCTCTCTCTCTCTCTCTCTCTCTCTCTCTCTCTCTCTCTTTCTCTCTCTCTCTCTCGATTTCTTATTCCTTTAAAAATATTCCAGTAAAGAAAATAATATGTGTATTTGTATGACAGTACATGTAATATGTATAAGTCCTAATGCCTTGGTTGTGTCCTGCAAGTTTAGAAATTTTAGCAAAAGTTGGTTAGTGATAATGACATTGGGAATAATGTTTTTGATGGAGACTTACCACTCTCTGACAGCTCTGGACATAGCAGAATGCAGCAGCTGGGCCACTGTGATTTTTCCATCTGGTCTTTTGGTGTCATCATAGTCTTGGTCTCCGATGCTTTGAAAGTATTGCTTGTTTGGAAGATGAACATAGGAAATTGATAAATTCATTTTAAAAATATTTTTTTCTTTTTAGAAAAGTCAGATGAAGCTTCATGCCCTTGACCTGCCAGTGGATGGCAGTGAGCCTCCAGCTACTTTTGTGAGTTAGCAACTTCTCTTCCTCAGTCTAACCTTGAGGAAATAGTAGTGAAAGTCACAACGCAGAATGCCCAATTATTTCTTTAGAAGGATGTTAAAATCTGTGTGAATGTAATATAAAGTATAGATTCTTCTACACAACATTTTGAAAATGTCAAATTTGAGAATGTGTACCTGTCCATTATACTCCTAAATTTAACCCTTAAACCAGAATTACCAGGTCTATAAAGTTGATAACTTATTAAAAGAGTGCCAATCTGCTTCATAGAATGGCATCCCAATCATATGTCTATTGGTATTGGACTTATTTCTCAATTGGATGTGTACACCAAAATGAAAACAATTGAACTTACAGCTTTAGAATATTCTCATGGGTAAAAGCATAAATTCTCTGAAAATTATTTCTGAAAATAATTTAATTCTTTCCATTAAGTGCATTTGTTTTTAAGGCCCAACCTTTGATTTTTTTTTTTTTTTACATCTTACTAGCTAATTACAAAGCCAGATTTTCCACCACCTCCGATTCCTACTTCTGTGTCATCTTCTTCCTTCCTTGTACTAGTAAGTATCAGATGATCCCCGATGATCTTTAAAATGTCTTTTGTGCCAATGTGAATAATATCTCTAAATCTATGGGTTCTTTATCAAGATATGTGCTCCCTAGGCTAATCTGAGATAACATAGCAAGTTCTATTTACTATCTATAAATTATTATGGGTATTAATTTATTATTATTATTAAAAACAGCTGTTATATAATTGTTAAGAAATGATCAATAGTTCTGCTGTAGAAGGCTGTCTCCCTCAAAGGACAGTGTCTAGCTGTTGATTTTGGATGCTGTAAAATTTAATAAGTTATATTTACTTTTTTATTTATTGTAGGTAGAATAGAGCCTATATTAGTCATAGTTTCTGTAGGAGATAGGGCATGAAAAATAGCCCATATATAGGCAAACATGGAATCAAAGCCAGGCACTCATGAAGTAAAGAGTAGAATTCATTCACTCAAATAGTTACTGAGCATATTTCCTCATACCTGATGCTCTGTTGTGGGTAAATGAAAAAACTAAAACTTAAGGTATTTTTTTAAAGAACTTTTACAATTTTAGTAGGAAAACAAGTCAAATATAAATGAAGCACTTATTTGCTTATATATTATTTATGTCAAAGCTGGTGATTGGATGAGAAGAATATGGTGAAGAGGAAATGAATGGGGTCAGGGTGGTTAAAACAGGAATTTGAGAGTTAGGTCGAATTTAAATGAGTGCTGATAAGGTCAGGAATGATTTTAAAAAAGTGTAGCTAAGGTGGGAAATGCATAGCATTTCTAAAGTCTTACCATTATTTTTGTCCATAATATAGCATGAAGAAACAAAGGTCCTTTCCTCTACTGTTTTCAAGGATAAGCCAACGTCTATGCCTAAGGTATGAGATCCATAGCTAAACTATTATAATCGTGTAGCACTCCTGGTATCAAGGAAAGAATAACCGTATTTCCCTAGAAGATGTTCAGTAAGAATAATATCTGTTTGATTATAGGATGGGTGCTAGCATATGTCTTCCTTCTGAGTTTGCCCAATAACCAAGAGGAAAAAGATGGATGTATCTTAGCAATGAAGTGATGATGATCTCAATATTATTCATTCTCTCAGAAATACTCCACAGAAATATTGAGATTGTGGAAGTATCCTATAGAATAATAATCACCTACTAGTTCAAAACTTTTCTCCTGATTCCCCCCACCATCTCCATATTATGCTAATTAGCTAGATAGATATTTGCATCCCAGTGTGGTATTTTTCTTACCTTCTTTCCTTACACTCCCATGTTCCCACTCCTTTCCTGTGATGTATGAAATAATCCATAAAATAGGAAGTACTACAGATAATTTTAATTTCTTAATATTTCAAAATTATGAGATATATACATTTTTTTTAGGAAAAAGTTGATCATTTAAGTGTATTGTCTTTTTTAGGGCTCCAATCCAAATGTATGAAGCAACAGCTTATCAACGACTGGTGGGTAAATGATCAACTTGAATAATGGGACAACCTGATAGAAGAGAAATATATGGGTTATCTCACTACTGTTTGCTCTTGATACCCAAAGAGGTTAACATTTCTTGATTCATGTTATACTTTGAAGAGATGAAATAAAATGTTTAAGAGAGATGTACTTTTGAGAATCTTTGAATTTAAAATTTATATTCTACATAGGGAAGGAAGATGACTCTACAGATACAACTATGAAGCTGAAATTTCTAATTAGGTTTGGTAGGAATTAATTCACCCTGTAATGAAAACAAATAAAGAAGTAATCAAAGAAAACTGGGAAGGATGGGAGAAAATAGTACATTTATCATTAGAAGACTAAAAACTCAATTGTTTTAACTATTAACCTGTCAAATTAGAACCCTTTGTTAAAAAGAAAAAGTATATAACCATTTTCTGATTTATATAATATCTTTCCTACATTATCTTCTATAATCCATATTAGTTGTGCAATTTGAGGTTTACTACAATTGAATAAACTTTACTAATAAAAATATTTTTCATAGAAATTGGTATAATTTAGTTACTGGTGAGGTTAAAGTGAGCTTCACTTTCTAAGTAAAGAACTTTCAGTTAAATTAAAAAAAAATTAGAGATTGTAAACTGGTAGCTTTCCAGACATGTATGAATTGCGGATTTATTCATATTGGACCTGAATAATTTGGGTCACAAAGTATTTTTAAGTGTTTTTAAATTTATTGCCAATATTTAAAAGTTGGGACATCTTGTATAAACATCCAGATTTCCCGCTTATTAAAATTAATCAAATGGTCTGTCAACACTAATCACAGGCTCATAGCAACCATCTGCTTAGCTGGCTGCTGATGAGCAAACATCGCTGGTTGCCTGCCAAATAACCCTCTTCTTTCTTGTTTCCATTACGCCAATTTGTTCAGTTGTCCATGTTTTAAAAGAATAATTCTCACTCTAATGGGTAAATCTCTACTACTCTAAGTCAACATAAGAATCTAATCTCCCTTACTGGTGGTTGATTTGGAGGTGAGTGTAGCTCTCTCTGTTTTAGCCAATGAGACAACAAAGGAGACATGCTGGGGAATTTATGGGAAAGATCTCCTGTTTCTTCTTCTGGATGTTGGCATCTGGATATCCTGTCTGGTAGTGTCGCAGCCATGTTGCAACTATGAGGGCAAGACTGATATACAGAACAAGATAGAGCAGAAAGATTAAAAGGATAAATCCTGGTCTTTTAATGATGTTATTGAACTGGTCGATTAGTAACTGCTGGAGACACCCCATACTTTGTTGGGACTTCCTATTGATATGATCAATAAAATTTCTTATTGTTTAAGCAATTTCAAGTTGAATTTTCTCTTACTTGTAACAGAAGTCATCTCAACTAATAAAATAGCTGCTCCATTATTAAGGCCCATACTTTCCACTTCATTAATACTGCTGTACATTTTTTATACTTGGCCTGCTTTACCCATTTGCAGCACAGATCTGGCCTTATTGGCCTTCCTTTCCAGGACGGACTTTGCCCATATGATGTTCATTTTCCCTTGCAGTGTGAATTTCTAGATAAATTCATTCTGGCCTCAAAAGCGAAGCTCAATTCCCAGTAATCCCAGAGTCCATCTGTCAGATCATTGTCATTGTAGCAGCCTTTCTTTCCATGTGGGAGTTTACTCAAGAACACATTAAACATATTGCTTTATCTGCAGTGTGAGGTTTCAGAAGACCCTGCCCTAACCCAGAAATAAATTGCATTTGCAGCAAGGCCATAATCTTACGTGTGATCAATCTATTAATCTTCGCTGGTTTTTGTTGTTATTTGATTTGTTTTCATTCCTGTCCCTGTCTCATTCTTTTAAGATTGACAAAATGGGAATCTTGAACCTATGACTTTTCAACCAGCCACCTACATAACCTGAGCTAGAGATAAAACATATTCCTGTAGATTCTGAAATGATGGCACTAGGTCCTTGATGTTTATGGAGATGGAAGACAAGAGGACGACAGAAAAAAGCATTCTCTTTTCCTAAGGCTTTGAAGCCTTACAAAGTTCCCTGGTGGGCTGAACTGTAGCCAATTTAAAGCAAAGACTTTGATTTCACAGTCCTGTTTCCAAGCTAGATCTACAACATACTAACTTTAAGGGAATTGTACCAATATGACATTTACCCACCTCATGTAGGCCACCAAACCTTTTTGATAATTAGGCGTTATTACCTTCTCTACTTTTTAAAAATTGTAACAGGTTAAACTGTGGTCTTTTCTGGGTACTCTAGAAGTGGTGTACCATCTGGTATCTCTAAATACTCCTTAGCACTTCAGTCAGTTACTGCCTCTTATGACTTTGGGGATGCTTTTACCTTTGTATGAAATCATGAAGTATGCATAAAAAGGAAAGCAAGCTTTAGTTGTGATCAGGATGGAGCTATGCTATTGTTCAAGTTGGTAATAATGACACCTATATAGTAAAGAATTGAGGATGACCTCTGGCTAACAGCCAATGAGAAAGTGAACACTTTAGTCCAACAACCCTCAAGGATCTAATTCTGCCAACATCCATCGAATGAACTTGGAAACAGCTCTCATCCCCGTTGGATCTTTTTTTTTATTTTTTTATTTATTTATTTTTTTAAAAAATATATTTTATTGATTTTTTTTACAGAGAGGAAGGGAGAAGGATAGAGAGTTAGAAACATCAATGAGAGAGAAACATCGATCAGCTGCCTCCTGCACATCTCCTACTGGGGATGTGCCCGCAACCCAGGTACATGCCCTTGACCGGAATCGAACCTGGGACCCTTCAGTCCGCAAGCCGACGCTCTATCCACTGAGCCAAACCGGTTTCGGCATCCCCGTTGGATCTTGACTGACACCTTGGGAGAGAAACTGAAGCAGAAGACTCAGCTAAATTTTGTTAACATTTTACAAGAACAGAGACCGTGAGATTGAAAACTATGTTTTCTTTTAAGTTGCTCTGATTTCGGGGAATTAGTTGTATAGCAAATGATAACTTCTACAAAACAGGTAGAGTTCAAATGTTTCAAATATTCAGACTGGTTTACATAGACTTAACTACTATATTTAACAGGATTTCCATCATCTCAAAAAATGTTTTTTCATATTTTCTTTAATTTATTCCGTTCTCTTTGTTATGGGTACTGATTATCTGCTTGAGATCACTGATATCCAGTCTTCTCAAATAATCATGTTCTTTCTCACTTTTGTTTACCTATTTTTTGGGGGGTATTTTTGCCGAGTTCCTTAATTTTAGCTCCAAAGTTTTTGATTTTATGTTTAATACTGTCAATGCTCATTTTGTACTAATTTTAAGGCATTTTATAATGTTTCTCATCTTTGCTTAGTAACATTCTCTTTTTTTCTCACATTAGTTTTATAAAGGCCTGCCAATTAACTTTTTTTCCTTTTGTTTCCACAGTTTTACTTCTAAAATGAAATTCGCAAAGCAAATTTGGTCTAAACTTTATTAGTGTCCCTCAAAGGAACTGTTTTTCAAAAATTATATCTTCCTCAGCCATTTGAGTACTATGCTTCTGATCACTCAGCAACACAAATATTTCCAGGTGGCTCACCTTTGTGTTTTAAAAGTTTTATTTTAACCTGTTAAATATTCTCACATTTTATATATTTGATGATATATTCTATCCCTTGAGCTAAAGAACGTTGGTACACTAGCATTCTGAGTATAATATAGGAAGAGGTGGGTTCATAAGTAAATCTTGCATATTCTTCTCTGCCCGGATTATTTTTCCTTCATAGGCTACTGGTAGATCTGTCTACCAGGGCCAGACAGGGAGTGGCATAGTTCTGTTGGTGATGCTGAGATCCACCTCATCAGGAAAGCTCCTGACTCCTTAAAGGGAAAGCCTCAAACAATATAATTTGCAACCATCTTGGCACATTTGCTCTTGAATTTCTCTAGTCTTTGCTGCTGCTTCCAGAAAAAGACCTTTATTTGGAAATGACCACTTTAGACATTGCTCAACAATTAGCCTGGGATGTTTGCTATGCTGCTCAATTAATACCATGACTCTTATTACTAAGCTAAGTAATTGAGAATGTCATGGACTCTAAATCTCTAAGCAGAAGAAAATGATGGTATATAATTTATGAAGGCATCTCCTTGTTAAAATTGAACTCTTTTCTCTCATAGTTAGTATTGAAGCTTATATTTTATTTTTAAAATAATATTTTATATGCCTTAGCTCAGTAGATCAGTTGGTTAGAACATCATCCCAGTGTGCTATGGGCTGTGGTTGCAGGTTTAACCCCTGGTCAGGGCACATACAAGAATCAACCAATTAATGCATAAAGAAGTGGAACAGCAAATTGATGTTTCTCTGTGTCTGTGTGTGTGTGTGTGTGTGTGTGTGTGTGTGTGTTTCTCTTCCTCTCTTTCAAAAATCAATTTTTAAAAAGTTAAAAAAAGAATATATTGTGGTAAGAGCACAACATGGGATCTACCCTATTAATAGATTTTAAGTGTACAATACTATATCGACATATCTAGGCACAATGTGTACAGCAGATCTCTGATCTTGTTCACCTTGAATAAGTAAAATGCTATACCCTTTGAGTAACAAATCCCCATTTCCCCTTCCTAATCCCTGGCAACTACATTCTAAGCATTGCTTTCACGAGTGTAACTATTTTGATATCACATATAAATGAAGTCATGCAATATTTGTTCTTCTGTGATTGGCTTAGTTCACTTAGCATAATGCCCTCCAGGTTCACCTAGGTTGTTGACATGTTTCATTTCCTTTTTAAGGCTGAATAATATTCCATTGTATGTATATACCATAGTAATTAAATCCATTGATCCATTGACGGACATTTGCATTGTTTCTACATTTCTGCTCTTGTGAATCAACAAACATGGGATTGAAAGTAACTCTTCAAGATCCTGATTTCAATTTAGATAAATATGCAGAAGTGGGGTTGCTAAATCATATGACAGTTCTATTTTTAACTTTTTGAGGACTCTGCATACTGTTTTTCATAGTGACTGTACCAATTTACATTTCCACCAACAGTGCAGAGATAGTCCCTTTAATTCCCACCCTCACAGACTCTTGTTTTTACTGATCAATTTAATAATAGCCATCCTAACAAGTGGGAGGTAATATTTCATTGTGTTTTTAATTTGAATTTCCCAGATGATTAGTGAATTTAAACACCTTTTTGTATACCTGTTAGCCATTTGTATGTCTTCTTTGGGAAAATGACTATTTAGGTGCTTTGCCCACTTTTAAATCTGGTTATTTGTGGGTTTTTAAAAAATCCTATATAATAAAACCCTAATATGCAAATCAACTGAACAGCAGAACAACTGGTCGCTATGACATGACGTGCACTGACCACCAGGGGGCAGATGCTCAATACAAGAGCTGCCCCCTGGTGGTCAGTGCACTCCCACAGGGGGAGAACTGCTCAGCCAGAAGCCAGGCTCACAGCTGATGAGCACAGTGGCGGTGGCGGGACCCTCTCCCACCTCCGCTGCAGGTGGGCCGTAAGGAGTGAGGGGTCCTGGACAGCGAGAGGCCCAGACCATGAGAGGGATGTCTGACTGCCAGCTTAGGCTCAGGGGGATCAGGCCTAAGTTGGCAGGTAGACATCCTCTGAGGTGTCCTGGACTGCGAAAGGGCGCAGGCCTGGCTGCGAGACCCCCTACCCCCTAGCTGCATGAATGTCATGCACTGGGCCTCTAGTATATACATAAAAAATAACCATTTTAACCAATTTCAAATTTACAATTTAGTGGCATTGAGGATATTCATAATGCTGTATAACCATCACTACTATCCATTTTCAGAATTTGTTCATTACCACAAACAGAAACTCTGTACCCATTAAATAACAATCAATTACTCCTTCCCCTAACCCCTAGTAACCTCTATTCTACATTCTGCTTATATGAACTTGCCTATTTTAGGTACTGGATATACTAGTAAGTGATATTATGCTCTGTTTTTTTCTTTTATCTAACAGCTTATTTCACTGAGCATAATGTTTTCAAGTTTCATCCAGGTTGTAGAATGTATCCGAATTTTATATCTTTTTAAGGCTAAATAGTCTGATACCATTTTAGTCTATTTATTTTCTGCTTAAAGCATCTGAAAACAGTTTGTAGGGCTCCACATCCTCACCATTCATATTAACATTTTTTTACCCTTGCTCATTTTCTAGTCAAATAATGCTTTTCATACTTTGTTTTAATTTGTACTTCTTTGATGGCGAACACATTTTAGAACTGATCATTTTACTGACTTTATACCTAATATT